CTTTAAGGATAATCACAATCCAGAGAAAATAATGAAACTTCAATGTCTTGATCATCTGAAAGCAGGTCAAATCTGTGATATCCTTTCCAACCTCTGGTGTATTTTTATCGGTATTCAAATTCCTATCAAATAGAGTCTTGACATCGAACGTGTCATCCTCAGCATTCGTTAGATTATAGTCATCATCATCTATCAGTTTTCCTTTATCAATGTTGGTCTCCATTTTCATCATGGTCATTTTTTCATCTTGGCTACTTTCGGTTGAATAACGCTTCTCTAAATGGGGTATTGAAGGTGCAACTGGCGGCACTCTTATAAGGAGAACCGAGCAAAGAGAAAGTGCACATGCCGCCAATATGCATAACAGAATAAAAAAGCCTGCGAGGTTTTGGTTTTCTTCATCCGTAATATGGCCCTCGACAAATATTCCTTGATAGATAGCAGCAAATATAAGCGAACTCGAACCATAAATAGCACTCGCAAATCCAACAATTTTCCCTCGATGTTTTCCTTCAAAGTTTATAGAAATCGTTCCCATGATCGCAATATTTGCACAGCAACAACCGCTTGCAGCTATGAAATATATCAAACACATGAACAAGTTCCACGATGCAAATAATGTTTTGAACTGCGTTGACATCCACATCAAGACGAAGCAAGGCCAGGTGAGCATAGCAGCAATAATACAAGCGAATCTAGGTCCATATTTGTCTACAACGATGCCGGAAAAGTATCCAGCAAGTTCTAGACCGAAGGTAACACTAACGGCGATGTACTCAAGTTCTGATTGCGTGAACTCAAACGTCTGTTTAACAGCCACAGCATAAATACTAAAAGCATTTAAATTTCCGCAAAACAAAAGTCCAAAAGAACCGACACATAATGTAAGATACCTTTGTAATTCTTTTCGAGCGACTCCCATATTGTATTACCTATATATTGTGAAGACTGGCTTATTGTCTCTTATTGTAGGAAATGCATCTGGAAGTTTCAAGTCCGTGCTTTATGTCACATAAAATTACAAACCAGTATTGAATTAGGCCAGTCAAAGTTAACATGTGCCTGCTCTAGTAATTTCAGAAAAGAATCAAAGTGTATTTAGTATTTATGTGATATATGGCTACGTAAAATCACCAGTGTTATATCGCGATTACTCTAACGGCCACTTAAAGGGTGACGCATATCGTTTAGCAAATCGAACGCTCGTTTCTGGTGTTGCTCACCGTTTAGTATAAAAGGCCCGATCTCGGAATAATACTCAAGGGTTCACAGGTTCGATGTCGTTGTGTCAACACCTCTAACTGTTATATAGCATAAGTATATTATAGATCGTCACACATTTATAAAAGGGTGATTTTTATTTTGACAAATCAATTCCAAATTTATGGGTGAAGTTTCAGGATCTTCTATTTGTGTATAATAAGGAAAAATTGGCATCTAAATTTCCCCATAACGTAATAGCACACAGCTTGGCATATGAAATATCCTACAAATGAAACAAAGCAGTTCTAATACAAGGATTTATATTGGCTGTTGTACATGTACTGTTTGAACGCAATCACTCTATGGATAACGTTTTCAAAATCATTATAAACGGATTACTTTATCTCAAAGACAATTTCAATATTCTGGATTTTAGTGAACTCCCCTTATTTCTTAAAAATGGACTGATCCAGTTGATTCGCCTGGAGCCGCCATATTGTTTTTATACGGGAGGCTTATCGGAACCCTTTAACTATCTTTAAATATAAAAAAATTGAAGTATCAAATAAAATGCAACCACCTTTTAGTAGTTTTTATAAAATAAAAAATCAATTCACTGAGGTACAGCAAAAAATAAAAACATTTATACCTACATGTAAATCAAATTCATATTCATAGTGCAATGATGACTGCCCTGAACAAAATATGTAACTGTCTCTCATAGGTCGGCATCGGCCAGGCACTGTTTCATTTTTATGTATTGTTTTAATGTTATATTATGTATACAGTATCTGTTTAAGTGCGTGAGACATAAAAAAATGAAAATACTAGTACTACTACTGTAACTTTTTGAAAATGGAGAAACCAATTTAGTCTCATAGAAAGGTCAGTTATACTGTACTTCATGTGATTCTTACAATTAACTTGCAGAAACACATTGCATGGTTCTTAAAGTGGATCTCTTTTTTGTTTATTTACATAAACATTCAAATTGTCTTGAAATACAATAGATAAATGCTAAATGTTTCACAGAAACGTGAAAAATGACAAAAGTTGTCATAACTTTTTAAATCTAAAACTCTTGAAACCGATTTCACTTGCCAGCGACGGATACTTTAGTTCTTCACTATATAACATTATGTATAAAAAAATTACGCCATCATATTATATAGCCAACAACGAACCTACTTAGGTGTGTTACTAAGTGTAAATTCTGAATGGCACAAAATAATGTCAACATACGCATTGATACACTTATTCTTAAATTCTATATAGTCACCGTGATGATAAGCACGAAGGATGTGTGGGCGATTCTTGAAATATTTTTTCATTTTAGACACTCCTGAAAGCTAAAGCGCAAAATTAATCCCGTGGTCCTGAGAACGTTTCGATCTATTGCCTGTACGATTACAACATGGGAGAAAATCCATTTCGATTTATTCGCCCGCCCATCATTTTCTGAGACACAAAATTGCGAATTTCTCTTTAAAGTGTCTCACATATTCGATCAAAATTTGCCATGCAAACATGTTAGTCTACTTTACTGGCCCCCCTTGCTGTAACAAGGAACCCAAAACACATTAAGACGTAAACATAAACCAATTAGTCACTTCACTATGAAAGTGGGGGTGTTAGCAAATGTATATTAGGCCATAAGAAGTAGATTCTTTGTTTTGCGTCCTGGCAAAATTCAAATCATGCAAGGGTACAAGGAAAACAAACACAAACTCAAGAAAAAAACACAAACTTGTTTGCTGAGAAATATATACATTTTAGGGGCATAAAAAAAGGATGACATCCCAATTTGCAGTGATTACAAACACATATCTATACATTTTATACAATATATAAAAATATAGCTATTATTCGAGGGTAAAAAATAAGAAAAAACACAATGTATGTCAAATAATTATAACACTGTCAATTTTGACGCACATCAAATTATCCGCCATTTCATCTGATTCTGAAATGCGATGGTACTTTCAGACCCTTGTGATTGCTATTTGGATGTGTTTTTTTCTGATTTACTCAAAATCGTGCAAGCAAGGGGACGCAAAACAGAGGATCTACTTCTTATGGCCTTAGCAGAATACGATGTGTGCATGGACTAACACAATATCAGTGGTCATTTACTGTGTCAACTTAGTAACCCTTGCATATCGTGCTCACTCAAGTATTGAATAATTTTTTATGATCTAAATGTTTGTGGTTTATAAAAAAAGTGATATATTTTAGTTAGAAATACATTAATTAATATATTCATTCAAACAGCACTAGAATGCGGGAAGAAAGAGCAATGGTGACAAAATGTAGACAGAATTTTCCGTAAGGGTTTCAAACATTTCTGGACACAATCATACATGTATATAGTGTACTGTTATTTTTAGTGCTGTATTTATAGATATAATTTCACGTATTAAAATCATATTTTCCAGCAATGACTTCAAATCCGGAACCACACCCATATCACATTTTCTTCAATAACTCCAAACATGTGTAAACATTGACCATGTGCATATAAATTCAGATTTCACGAGCTCTTTCATATTCGAGTACCTCATACACCCCTGCATGGATTTGAGTTGGATTCGCCTTTTATACGTGAGCCGACACACTCGCAAACGCTGATTGGATAAAGATTGCGAGAATCTTTAACCGGGACATGTGTGAATGAGATTTTGATAAATTAAATCTTCAGACATTGATGGTGCGGGACAATGTTAAAAGTATCATTACAAACCGGAAGTGCAAAAGCTAGCGATCCATAAAGGATTCATAAAGTCAAGTGACAGACTATACATGGGGTTTAACTTTTACATGTACATGATTTACATACCTCTCTCCGCATAACCATATATCCAGTCAGCGTCGTCGTATTTCTCTAACGCGTCCACCGTGTAAACAAGACATTCCATCTGGAAATATGTTCTAACAAAATGACATAGTTATACACTCTCAATATCGTAAGGCATACAAGGAAAGTTAGATTAATTTTGAAGAAATCAAGACATGTTTGAATTCTTCGAAGCTTGAAGAAGCAAGATATACTAAATAAAAATGGAAAAATCGAAGGCCATTACAGTTTTAGTATAATTATCGAAAAAGGCATAATGAATGGGCTTTTTACTCTAACGTCATGGTTAAATATTTGTTTGAATTCTTCGAAGCTTGAAGAAGCAAGATACTAAATAAAAATGGAAAAATCGAAGGCCATTACCGTTTTAGTATAATTATCAAAAAAGGCATAATGAATGGGCTTTTTACTCTAACGTCATGGTTAAATATTTGTTTGAATTCTTCGAAGCTTGAAGAAGCAAGATACTAAATAAAAATGGAAAAATCGAAGGCCATTACAGTTTTAGTATAATCATCGAAAAAGGCATAATGAATGGGCTTTTTACTCTAACGTCATGGTTAAATAGATTAATAATCCCATAGGAAATATCAGAAATGGTGGTTTAAGCTAATTATTAATTATGCAAATATGGCGTTCAGTGATGATAAATTGTATTTTTTAATATAGAACACCAGAGATTAGATATAGAATGGCCAGTCATCGTAAACAGTAGGTTCATATTACAATTACTAGCATGCATTTCACAATTGTGTAAAACTAAATATTCAAATTGAAACAATGGAGGAAATTTTTGAAAATAGCACTTTATAATTTGAAAACTTGCGCTGTGCTTTATACATTTATATCTCAATACCAAGGAGTAAAGCATACAAGGCCGAATGTGTGACAGATAAAGAAAGACCATTAGTACTTACATTGATGATTTTTTTAAAAATATGGAATAAGTAAACTTAGGAAAACAATACAAACTCGATCATTTCAGTCACATTTCTCAAGAACGCAGCATGAAGCACATCATTGTGACTTGTGTTATGATAGGAATCGGAGTTTTCTTCACTGACCAGGCACAAGTAAAGTCAAACTATTTTAAGATTGGCGGCGTTGGGAGAAGAGTAAATGGAACTGCGACAGAGAGGTTTTTTGATGTTGTTCAAACAACAGAGTGCGTAGTCAGATGTATTCACACCATCGGGTGTTTGTCGTTCAATTACAATCCCGTTACACTGGAGTGTCTTGTCTACACGGTGGGCGGGTTAGAGAAATACGACGATGCTAACTGGGTATATGGTTACGCGAAGAGAGGTATGTAAAGTAGTTCTATTGTTCATTGGAGAAGCGCGCATCATATTGGGTTTATGACAAGAATGGGATTCACCAATTAAGTGGCTTTGGGATGTTTCTTGGTATATTTTCAACATGTGACTGATGGAACTTCAGACTGTCCACAGAAGTGTCAAAGAGAATGAATGGGGTAGGGTGCCAGAAGGGGAGCAAGGGGTTGTCCCCAAGAAACATTTTTCTATATATATCTATATATATTTTATATATTGTCTGAGACAATATATGAAATTCAAAATTTTCTCAATTGTTTGATGGGGGGGGGGGGGTGAGGAGTGGCCAACTTTTTTTTCACAATATCAATTATAAAGCATTTTGGGTAAATTTGAAGGTAGCCCTTTTGCATTGTCCGTCCTGAAATCTTGTCCGTAAAATCGTTTTTCCTTTTCCTTTCTTCTTTAAAGGGTGACGCATATCGTTTAGCAAATCGAACGCTCGTTTCTGGTGTTGCTCACCGTTTAGTATAAAAGGCCCGATCCCGGAATAATACTCAAGGGTTCACAGGTTCGAGGTTGTTGTGTCAACACCTCTAACTGTTATATAGCATAAGTATATTATAGATCGTCACACATTTATAAAAGGGTGATTTTTATTTTGACAAATCAATTCCACATTTATGGGTGAAGTTTCAGGATCTTCTATTTGTGTATAATAAGGAAAAATTGGCATCTAAATTTCCTCATAACGTAATAGCACACAGCTTGGCATATGAACTATCCTACAAATGAAACAAAGCAAGACAAACCGGTTTCTAATACAAGGATTTATATTGGCTGTTGTACATGTATTCTTTGAACGCAATCACTCTTTGGATAACGTTTTCAAAATCATTATAAACGGATGACTTTATCTCAAAGACAATTTCAATAAACTGGATTTTACAGAACTCCCCTTATTTCTTAAAAATGGACTGATCCAGTTGATTCGCCTGGAGCCGCCATATTGTTTTTATACGGGATGCTAATCGGAACCCTTTAAAGCCAAACCATTTTATGGATAAATCTGAAATCTTCGGGGTGCTTTTGAAATAAAAGGCTGTTAACGCTTAGTCTTTGGACATTCTGGGTAAATTTTAGGTGGTGATTTTGGATTTTTGTCCCGAAAACTAGTTCCACGACAACATGGGAGCCCAGTACACATGATACTATTCAATTATTGTTGAAAGGAGCACGTAAGATAATATCGCAAACAATTCCAGACGATTCTAACTTAAATATTGAATATTTTCTGATCATGAACATGGGTGCATCTTTTAGACCCATCCGTCATTTTCAAGAAAAGTGGATAAAATGATGATTTAGTTAATCAGACCTAAGTGATATTAAAGGGGCAATGGACCAATCAACATACTTTTTCAAAAATGTTGACCTAATTTTTCCAAAAATTGAACATTTTATTATATTTTTGAATGCATAATTAGAATGTGTTTTGACACATAGATATTTCCTGAAAGGAAACGTTGATTGCTCCAGGGACTTTGAAGATACTGAATTTGGATGACCAAAATGTACTGAAATCAATGGATAGCATGAGATTTTCAATGGAAAATAACACGGGGAACACTTATCTTAGAGCAATTCAGTTTTTCTTTCATGAACTATTAGAAACACCATAATAAAGAATAGTTTGCATTAAACATTATAAAGATGATTGCATTTTTGGTGAAAATTAGGTCAACATCTTTGAAAAAGTGTGTCGAGGGGTTGCTTGCTAGTTAAATATCTCCAAGTCCGTTTGACTTAATTATTATTGCATATAATTTTCTTTGAGATAGTGAAAGGATCTATAAGATATACCTGTCTTCATGGTCAGAAAATAGTCATGATCCAAGATATAACTGTCTGAAATTGTTTGCAATAGACTACCCGAACCTTTTGATTTTCCCCGATGTTTTTTTTATCCCAGCAAGGCCTGCTTTCTGTCACAATCTTTTAACGAATCCCAATATCTCCCGAATTATAGAAAAAAATTCTCCAAAGTTATCTAGAAGTTCAGATATTCTCCCCACTTTGCAAATACCCTAGATCCTTATAAAAATTACTCTCGCTTTTTATGTTCTTTCTACTCGACAGTTTTGTTATTCTTACAGCATCGTTTTGAGATCATTAAGATCATCGCTCATTGTGGAAACCACAGCGTCTATAATAATCCCATGGAATACAGCTTTAGATATAGAGAGACTGATAAACCAGAATTTATTGTGTATGACCCCGAAAGTAGATGCGTGCTGATACAAAGCGCCTTCCACTTTTCTTGCATTTTCAGCAACCACGCTCAATCATTACACAACTGTATAAGGATAGTTCATGAACCCTGCAAGATATTTTCTTAATTGCTTTAATAAAGAATGTAAATTGTTTTCATCATTTGAAAATATCTGTCCAAGAGAAAGTTCGCTTTGTATAGCAATATGTGATTTCAGGTGCTGGTGTTTTTCATGTGAATGGTCCCTGGGGTAAATACAGCATAGCTGATCCAACCGTCGCTGAATCCGTATGTACCAACAGCTACAACGCCAAGTCGCTTGCAACCCGTGACCAGCTGGCTGAAATGGTTGCAAATGGATTCTTCTTGTGCAGATGTGGATGGATAGCAGATGGATCATCGGTTATTCCGTTGAACTACACAACAAATAATTGTATGGACAATGACGTGCCACCTGGTGTCATAAATTGTGTTTCCCCAGGTGGACCATTACCAGGGTATGCACCAAATGGCCAGGATGCTTTTTGTTATACAGATTTCTAAGTGTTATTAGAAAAGGCATGGGGGTACATCCAAACATTATTATCACCGCACCTTGCGAGGTCTTTTCTCTGGGTATAAGTATCTTCAGCAATAGGTGGAGGCATAGTGCTTGGGCATAGTGATTTGCCCTTTGAAATGAGGTTATTGCTATATTAGAATATGAGAGAGGTAGATGTGAAAGCCAAATCATTGGAAGGAAGCCCTCACCGCCTTCAAACACTGACCAGCTAACCTCTAGCCTACTTTATCAAACGGAGGTCAAGATAAATAACTTAGGGACATAGGCCCTATTCACGGGGGTAAAGCAGCGATGAGCTTGCTCGGCGGTGTCATGGCTGTGTAACGGGTCTTGATGTATAAGTGAGCTCGGCGGTAGGTTCAAACAACGCGGATCTTCAAAGCATGTGCTCATGGTATCATCGTGGCTTAACAACCTTGCTATTTATCGATCTGGGCGTCAAAATTCCAGCTCTTGTGACCTCCCCCCCCCCCTTACACATCTCCCCACAAGTGTGAGAATGTGTTTAGACAAGTAGGGGGGGGGGGGTCACAGAGGCTTGGAGCTAGCCTACGGCTGACCCTGGGGCAGGTTATTGTCACGTCAAAAGGAATAAAAAATTGAAAACATGAAATAATTAATCAACAGATACCATTTTGTGTGCTCAAACATACATTTTAAGATACTAAATTACACTAAAAGCACATCCTAGATTTAATGGATGTATATTGCACAGTGTCTCATTTCACATTTTCTCAAATTTTGGCCTTTGGAGAATTGCAGCCATTTCTGCAATTCCTCGACTGAATTTGAATTTGTGACTATTGAACTGTAGTATTATGACATCACAATGCTAAATGTCATTATTTGTACTTGGTTAACATCATGCTGAATAAATTTAACGATTTCCCAAACATTCTGATCATTTAAAAGAAAGAAATATTAATAAAATAACATTTTGGAGCTTTTCATGATTAGAAAAATTGTACCTGCCCCACCCACCCCTTCCCATGTGTTGCTATAGCAACCAAATTAAGACTTAATATTAATGTATAATGCTGAAACTTCAGGATGTAACAGATAAAACTTCAATTGTTATATACATCAAATTTCAGCTGTATTGAAGAATATTAAAGAAAGAAATTTCTGGGACAACCCTCGTATATACAGCCATCGTTCGAATAGAAAGACATCAGAAAATATTTTTCATCTTTTACAAAATTGATTTTTGCTAGATTTGTGATTCTGTCCATATGCGGTTAATGACACAAGGCTTCAATATTTGCCAGTTACACGACTTTTGGCGTAATATATGATATTCAATTAATCTAAATGTGTCCCTGTGCGGTTCATGACACAATAGGCGTCAATATTTGTCTGTTACACGACATTGACTTAATGTATGATATCCAATTAATCTAAATGTTTTATTAGATCTACATTAATTTGTTTTGCAACAGTAACAATTAGGGGTACCAATAATGATGCTATAATGAATTAGAAGAGTATATGACTCCTTCAGACTGATTTTTATAAAAAAGGATTCTATTAATATAATTGTATACATGCTTGTAATTGACTTGTTTTGTCATCCCTCAATAAATTTATTTTATAAAGTGAAACAACCCTTTTCTGTCAGTTATTCAATTCCTTTAATAGCTTTTGCTTTGGGTATATACCACATTATCGGCGGTTAACCGGTTAACCGGTTAATACTTGACACCTCTAATATATGGAATCAAATGACATAAAATATTATTAAGGCAAAATTGATAGGCATTAAGAATTGATATTGTTCATACATTATTGGTACACATCTTCATTGTATTTCCCACATGCTTTTCCAAAATATTTACTTAGTTTTCAACTTCTTTGTACATCGGTTTAAGTAAAGAATTTATTTCTTGATATGTCCAAAAGTGAAAAAATATGGAAAGTAAGTAAGTGAAATGCCTTTCGAAATATTTGGAAATATGACAAATATAACCTCTATTATACATCTATTCAGAATTTTGGAACCTTGGCGAAATACTCAAATTATTTATTTACAATTAAACCTATACTATAGTAAATATTACATGTTAAAATCACAAACAAAAGAAATAGATCAAAATGTCAAAAGAGAACGGATATGTCAAGTATTGAATTATTCTACTTTGTTGTGAGATCTGTGATCATGGGATAACTCCATTATTTACTAGTTGGGATAGATATAGACCATATCCTTCTCCAGATAACCAGTTTGTCTCCAGATACGACACCAATATTTTACAGCATGTTTTGTAAAATGGCCATAAAATCGTAACCATCGAAAATAGACAAATGGGTTGTTGTTGTTGTTGTTGACAAATGGGTGGTACCTTCAAGAATGAAAAAATATTGAACAATGTTTTATTTTACACAACATGACTTAAAACCCTTGTTGATTCACTGAGTTATTAACATTTGTTTGGGTTACCTTTTTGGCTCACTTTGTACGTTCCCTCGATTCATATTAATTTCTACCCCTGCTACATAAACTCTAGTAATCCCTCTCGATGTGCACGATATAGGGGTTATGCACTGGGAGGTTTTGGATACAGGGAATATCCCATACCCTCAGGCCGTCGGATAATATCATATTATCCCTCGGAATAAAACCCATATTGAATGCCCCCAGTAAATAACCTCTATACATATCCCGGATCCTCGTTGGAGGATTCATTTTGGACATTTTAATGGAAAAATATCTTTAATTACCCACAAAGTATAAGTCTTATTAATGAAACAAAACGTTTTGTATAAATACAAGGATTTATATTTGTTCATGCATCCTTTGGATAAGTCACCCTCTCAGTATTTACAGATTGTAAACTTTTCCATGCATTGATTTGTCTTCGTGAACATGACTTGAATAAACTGGAATATACCGAACTCCCCTAAATCGACGGATCCAGTGGACTCGTCTGGAGTCGCCATTTTGTATCAATACGGGAAGGTACACGTAACCCTTTAAATACCCGTAAAGATACACTTAGGCCTATTAACTATCTGGGGATAGATTGTAGAATAGATTGTATTGCTGCATTCCCTGCGAAGTGTTATTGAAATCAATAGACTTTCTAAAAGGATATATCAAAATGAAAATATGGACGCCTTTTGGCTCCTAGTAAATTTTGTAATTTTTGCCATAACTTTTGTTTTCTAGCCTTTTCTGCATGAAACTTTCACAACATAAGAATATATCTAACCCTATACTATTAAAAGGGTCCTAACAATCAGTTCAGTTTTGACAAAGATATGGTTACTATGGTAGCCGCAGAGTTCCAGGGAAAAAATTCCAAAAATACACTTTTAAGACATTTTGTGTTTGAAGCAATATAACATATTACTGTTTAACTCTTGGGATATGCAGTAAGCTTACAGTTATTTCAAATAATCATTTTTAGAGTCTCTTCCTGATCCATCTTCACTTTAAAGGCCCATAACCAGGGAGGAAGGGTTAGCTGGTTTGAACGAACCCCCTTTGCCAAAAATGTTTTCAAAATCATGGAGTTTTTTCACTATTCTGAGCATTTTCAATTGATTTTGGCCCAGATTGTGAAATGTGAACATCCCTGGATTTTGTTTGAAAAATGAGCCCCCCACTTGACAAAAGCTGGCCAGAGGACTGACTTCATGAGGTGCTTAAAGTAGGGATACTTAGCATCAACGGACTGTTGCTGTCTGACGATCCACTTGTGGTACACATTCTTTAAGCCATCTTTGGGTATGTGGCTAGGGAGGTGTTCACTGCAGACATTATTTATTGAGATTCTAGTGGGATATCCCTCTCAGATGAACTATACACATTGTGAAGTCATATCTCTTTCTTACTTGATCAAATATAAACTGACAACATTAAACTTTTACCATATCAAGTTTTTATTCACCAAAAAGTGTTTATTTGATGTATAACTATTATTCATCATGTAAACTCTAAAGGTTGCCCCGCCTACCCTTCTCTGGCCCCTCTTATGTGTTCTTACAAATGTAAGGATGGTATCTAGGTCTATCCTAGAAATCTGTGTAACAATAAGCGTTCTGGCCATCTGCCCCCCAAGTTAGTAATGATCCACCCGAGGAAATACATGTATTGACACCAACGCTATTCCCACAAGCGCTATGTGTGTAATTCAACGGAATAACAGATGATCCATCTGCTATCCATCCACAAGCACAAACGTGGAACCCATTTGGAATCATTTCAGCTAGCTGGTCACGGGTTGCAAGTGACTTGGCGTTGTAGTTATTGGTACATACGGATTCAGCGACGGTTGGATCAGGTATAGTGTATGTACCTCCTTGACCCCTCACATGAAAAACTCCAGCACCTGAAATCAAAATCCACCTATCATACTTCATCAGGATCCAGTCACTATAATAAACTTCATCGTATATGCAATACAGGATTCATTGTGCTCTCGATATTCTGTATTGCCACTCAATTTCGTCTCGCACCAATACATTAGTCGAATTTCACAATATATCCTGTATTGCACTTCAAATTATTCAATAACTTATAGTATGTACCTCCCGGAGCCCTCACATGAAAACTCCAGCACCTGCAATCAAAATCCATCTATCATCCTTGATCAGGATCCAGTCGCCATAAATATGGTCCACTATGCAACAGTGCATGTCAACGGATCACCTATTGCTCATTTTAAATAAAACATTATCTGACTACAAATCCACGGTGACAATCCAGGCACCGTATATCGCGAGCAAGCTCCCGCTTATATCGCGAGCAATGAGCTCATGTTAGAAGCGGGGCCTTGAGAGATATGATAAAATATAGATATAGTTTAAAAAACGTCGTTGTCCTGCAATTGAAATAGCCATTGTACTATGAAATAAAGTTGTACTGAGTTTCACTCACTAAAGTTCCATAGAAACGTTTATATTTCAATTTTATCATATCTCTCAAGGCTTCTAACATGAGCTAGTTGCTCGCGTTGTCAGCGGGGCCTGGATAGAAACCATGAAATCACGAGTTGTTCTTGATTTCAGTGAGCAAATTGCCCATTACAATAGAATTACAGTGTGTACATGTAACTCACCTCCCCATGTACTTCTCTTTGCATAACCATATATCCAGTCAGCATCGTCGTATTTCTCTAACCCGTCCACCGTGTAGACGAGACACTCCAGTGTAATATACCAATACGCGATAACGTTTAATTTCGTTCAGTTTAGCTACCTCTCGTTTGAAGAGCTCTCATGTATGGTACAACTTCGTCTACATCCGGGTTCTTTCCCATTGGATTACACAGGGGTGCTATTTTCAATGCCGTACTGCGGCTCTATTAAACATTTATGTAGAGTTTTATTTGCACAAACGATAGGTATGTATGTAATTAAGATACATGACAAAGCTTTTTGAGCTATAATCCCCAAATCCGAAGAAATCTGTAGTTGAAAATGCCGTCCAATTCCAGTGACGTCACTGATATCCCAGAAATTGCTCAGACGCCATCGAAGATCGAAAAATATAAATAGTGTTACTTTGAATCTCCGATTATCTTTCTGATTATTGAATAGATTGGATTATATAACTATGCTTGAGGGCTGATGGAAGATCAGAAGCTGAGAAACGTTCAGAGTAATCGACTCGTTCGGCGGGCCAATGAAAATTTGTCCCTTCCAAAGCGATGCATCATGGGAGATATTTATGTAAATTACCACCTGAACTCTTATCGCGAATAGGAGTATTGGATTGTAATTCAACGACAAACACCCGATGGTGCGAATACATCTGAGTACACACTCTGTTGTTTGAACAACATCAAAAAATCTCTCTGTCGCAGTTCCACTTACTCTTCTCCCAAAGCCAGCAATCTTAAAATAGTTTGACTGTGCCTGGCCAGTGAAGAAAACTCCAAGAATGATAAAGCCAGCCACAAAATGAGTCACGACGATGCTCTCCATGCTGCGTTGCCGAGCGATGTGACCGAATTGATATTTTTTCTGATTCAAATTGAGTGAGTTCGTACTGATTTTTTAAGTTTACAAATTCTTTAGTTTTTAAATAATTACCATTGTCAAGTCCTTATAGCCTTGCCTTGTGTGTTACACAGTTCTGTTTTGCGCCCATGTCATACATGTATTGGTATCTATCTTCCAATTAATTAGCTATTAAATATGGGGAAATTCAGCAAGAAGTATTGAAATGACCACGAAGTTGGAATAGTCTCACAATAATACTGTACTGTAACTGTCTCTCGATATACACTCCCCTCCATAAGTTTGGCAACCTTAGCTCCCCCATTGAACTAAGTGTTATTTTGAAAATCATCATTCCCATGTTAACCAATGGGAAATGGTGGGTTCGGGGCAAATCAGAAATTGGGATATCTATTCTGTAAAAGATTCAGCAAAAAATAGTTTGATATAGAAAATTGAATTGTCTAACTTTTTTGTACACTAAGTTTTTAGTTTACTTGATGAACACTAAAGTTACAGAGCTTCAAAGTCATTTTTGAAAATTATTTCTCGCCTCCTGTGTTATTTCAATGGGAGAGGTTTTTTGAAAAAATAAAGTTAGCAAATTCAATTGCCTACCAAATTCGTATTTTTTTGCAAGGACTCAGATGGATGGATATTCTGTCATATGACTTGCGGCATACCTACCATTTCCCATTGGTTAACATGGGAATGTCGATTTTCAAAAATTCATCAAATTTACCATTCATTTTCGACCTATTGCAATCGAGGAAAAAAATTGAGAAAATTTGGAGGTATCAAAAATAAGGTCAAGTTACGTTTCCATCAATAGTATAAGTATTTTCATCGCAGGTTAAGTAAATAAAAATTCAAAGGTAAAGAGGCTTTAACACGTAGTTCAATGGGGAGCTAAGGTTGCCAAACTTATGGAGGGGAGTGTAGTTCAATAACCAATGATGACTACTCAATCACATGCACCCTTTCTTTGAATTACAGTTGACACGTACATATCGAAGTTTGTAATAACACGGTCAAACATACCTCCTAAAGCACTGGTTCACGCCTAGCCATCGACAACGTACAGTGACAAAATGCGCCGTCGTATACTTTAGATGCATGGTGTCACTATTAACCGATTTGAAGCAAAGACAATGATGTAGATTTTATGTAGGTTTTAAGAAATAAGACCGAAATTCACGATTTAAATGTTGAAGTGAACAAAATGGCGGCCATTTGAATTCAAGGACGATTGGCTCCCGTTACTCGAGTCTCTAGCCAATTCTTGGCTAGAAGTAATTCCATCTCACAGGGGCGGATTTTTTCAGGTCAGAGAAAAAACTTCCGTGCTTGCGCCGAAACGTTTTTAGGGCCCCAAATTTTGAAATTTTAGAGCCCATTTTCTTCAAAATTTGGCCTGAAATTAAAAAATAAGGCCTTAAAGGCCCAGTAATGACCAAAAAGGCCCACGTTTTGGAGCCTTAAGGTCTTTTTTGGGCCCAATTTTTTTTCTGGGCCCAACCAAGGCTGGGCATGGCCTCCCCTGGATCCGCCACTGCATCTTGAACACCCTAGTGAACTATTGTAAAATGTCTAGTCGGGGTTCAATAAATCTAAGAAATATTTTAAAAACCGTCATATTAATATTTCATGAATTGAAGTGGAACTGGCAAGGCTCCTTGATGAGATATTGCATGATTTCGTCAGGATTTCGTCTAAAGTTAAAACAAACGGCTCCAAGAAAAATGGCGATATTCGAAAACTGGACGAAATGTCGTTAACGTCTGACATTAGTAACTGGCTGTAAATTCTAAGTTAGCGATCCAGAAGATGTGAACTGATACATTGATCACTTCATGTGTGTTTTGGAATTTTTGGTGAGGTAATATCAGAACTCTACGGATTTTTGATCCGATCAGGTTAAATAAGGTTTGTGTGTGGGACGTTAGATTGCGACGCTGTGGTTGTGACGTTGTGTTGACACGCTAGGTTGTGCCGTGACATTGTGGATTGAGACTTCGATAGTCCAGAATGTGGATTCGTGACAGAGGCTTTGAAACTGCCTTGATAGTTTCTGTCTTAATAACTTACATAATATCTAATGTGCTTTGTTTCATAGGACATCCACTTGGTAAACTACGTACAATTTTAAATTCACATGATTGAAAAATATATACAATGATAATTAAGTCAATTGGACTTGGGACATCGAGGATGCATCAAACTATCAACATACCTTTTCAATGACGTTGACCTAATTTTCGCCAAAAAACTTTTTTACAATATTTGATGTATATTTTGATGTACATGTATAAATTAGTTCCTGAAGGAAAACAAAATTTCTTTAAGATTAGTCTTCCCATTTTTATTTTCTCATAGAGAAAACTCGCGCTACCAATTGATTTCAGCTCAAAGACCAAAACTTGCAATTCAAATTGAGATGTGGAAAAATGGCGAACATTCGATTTTAAATTTTATGATTACGACATGACCCGTATACAGCAGTAAAACATGCAGGGATTTATCTTTGGACGAAGGCCACGATATAGTGGAAGGCCACGATAAAGTGGCCTTAGAAGAAGGTAAGGCTCCCAGAGTGCAACATCGATATTCTTTCCCATATATGGGCATGTCGTGCTACAAAATTTGAATTCCAACAGCCGCCATTTTGTTCACTTCAACATTTGAATCGTGAATTTTGGTCTTATTTTCTAACGAAAAATTCCTCACTTAAAAACGGTTATAATACCTTTAACTGTAAGATCGTTTGCAATATTGATGTCTAGTTAATGAATATTTTACTAAATCTCCATTAGTTTTGTTTTGACGATGTACATATAATAATACTAATCTAGTATATTGAATTAAAAAGTATATGGCATCATCAGACCCATTTCCAATGTTTGATTGTTATAAAAAAGATGCTCTTCATGTAATTGTATACATGGTAGTAATTGACTTGCTTTGTCATCCCTCAATAAAAGTATTTTATCTTACAAATTAAATCAACCCTTTCGTGTCAGCTATCCAATACTTTTAATAGCTTTACCTTTGGCTATATGAAATTACTTAAAATATAATTAGGTCGAAATTACGCCATCATTGATAGTCATTCAGATATTGTCCATACATTGGTAGACATCATCATTGTTTTCACCACATGCTTTTCCAAAATATTGACTAATACCTTGTATTCGCGAATGCAACTAACGCCCGTCGGCTACCGGCTAGTATTTTATGACCAAAGTCCAAAATTCATAATTGCTAGCGTGTGGCGTCACCTGGCAACCAAATAAATAAAGAACAAATAGATATCGTTTAACAATCAGATGTCTATATGTATTAAAAAACCATTAACAGAAATAGGCTACGTCATATCCATGTTAAATAAAAAGCTATTGTCGTGTAATAAACTAGCTAATTTTTTATTAAATGGTGTATAAAACTTTGTAAGTAGTTCTCTGGTTGTATTTAACATTGGGCCAACGGCTTGAAGATGGGGCTTGCGCTGCTTTCTAATTCTCTCCAGACCAGCAACATGGGTTGTATTACCTTAAAGAATAGAATTTATAGGTTAATAAGAAATGATTGTTGTGATTGGCTTGTTTTAGCTCCACTGCATGCTTATATGAAAACGAATTTAGATGATCTTCTTGAACAGGAACAGGACCTGTTAGTCAATATTACAATAAAAATAAATCGTATTATATTTCAATTATTGTTGGTCCTGTTATATTGATTTTGTTTTGTGGCCTGGATGTAACCGAGAGGTTTTAGACAACTTATTACAAAGAAGTAGACATTTTGCAAATAGTGACATTTTCAATTGGACATATAATTGAAAATAGGATAGGGCTAATTTGAATGTTATTGAATTTAGGGGATATACTCTAAGAGCGAGGAGGAAAATTCTTAATAAATGGAGTATAGTTGGTTTGGCAGCATTTTCAGTTAGGGGGAAGTCTTGGATGAAAATTCTACCTAGGTGATAGCTTCACAGAGTGGTACATAATTCTTTTTTTTCAGGGGTTAGCCCCCCACCCCCCAAAAACACCCCACCCCGGTAAAATAATTTTTTCATTCTCAATAACTTTAGATATTTTGATGTTTGTAAGTTACATACATAGACATTATATATATGAATCATTTGAAAAATAAATAATGCCAATCACTCCTACAAAATTTGAATAATAGTACAAAGTGTGTACCCCAGGGGGCAAATTCGTGACCCATTTTCTTACTATTTAGAGCCTCAGTTTTCAATCAGACACTGGAAGACATTGGAAAAATTCACCCGAAGTGCCTAGTAGCAGACCTATAAGCCCTGAAAGGTTCGAATTAATTCAATCAGTATGAGCTGAGAAAAAAATTGTTGATTTTTTGAAAAATTCGACATTTTTGAGAGGCGTGATTTTGTGTATGACTATAGCTGAGGCCTATGGTTTCTAGATCTATCCCTCTTTGATAATAAATATGGTTTTGAAGTATGGAACTAAGATGTAAAAAAAATTAAAATGGGTTTTAAGGAAGTTAAAGTTTTAAACAAGTTCAAAATTCTAAGAATTGTACAATATCAGGTCTGAATTTACGAATTTTAGGTAAGACCTTGGATGAGCCTTAGATTTTTTACAACTGTCCCCTTTTGATGATATTTATGGTTTTGTAGTATGGAACTAAGATGTACAAAATAATTTAGATGGTTTTTAAGGTGGTTTAAGGATTTTAACAAATCCAAAATTTGAAGAATATAAGGTCTGAATTTATGAATTTCAGGTAAGACCTTGGATGAGCCTTATATTTCTTACATCTGTCCCTCTTTGATGATATGTATGGTTTTGTAGTATGGAACTAATGAGTAAAAATAATTTAGATGGATTTGAAGGTTTAAGGATTTTAAATGAGTCCAAAATTTGAAGAATTGTACAATATCAGGTCTGAATTTATGAATTTCCGGTATGACCTTGGACGAGCCTTACAATTTTTACATCCTTCCCTCTTTGATGATATTCATGGTTTTATAGTGTGGAACTAAGATGTAAAATATAATGTAGATGAATTTTAAGAAGGTTTAAGGATCTTAATGAGTTCAAAATTTGAAGAATTGTACAATATCAGGTCTAAATTTACGAATTTCAGGTAAGACCTTGGATGGGCCTTATATTTTTACATCTGTCCCTCTTTGATGATATGTATGGTTTTGTAGTGTGAAACTAATGAGTAAAAATAATTTAGATGGATTTGAAGGTTTAAGGATTTTAAATGAGTCCAAAATTTGAAGAATTGTACAATATCAGGTCTGAATTTATGAATTTCCGGTATGGCCTTGGACGAGCCTTACGTTTTTTACATCCTTCCCTCTTTGATGATATTCATGGTTTTATAGTGTGGAACTAAGATGTAAAATATAATGTATATGAATTTTAAGAAGGTTTAAGGATCTTAATGAGTTCAAAATTTGAAGAATTGTACAATATCAGGTCTAAATTTACGAATTTCAGGTAAGACCTTGGATAGGCCTTATATTTTTACATCTGTCACTCTTTGACGATATGTATTGTTTTGTAGTGTGGATCTAAGATGCAAAAATGATTAAGATGGTTTTGAAGAGTGTTTAAGGATTTTAATGAGTCCAAAATTTGAAGAACTGTATAATATCAGATCTGTATTTTTGAATTTCACGTATGACCGTGGACGACCCTTTTGTTTTTTACATCTATATTTTACACCTATATCCCCCTTTGATGATATTCCTGGTTTTATGGTATGGAACTAAGATGTAAAATATAATTTAGATGAATTTTGAGAAGGTTTTAGGATTCCAACAAGTTTTGAAGAATTGTACAATATCAAGTCTGAATTTGCAAATTTTAGGTAAGACCTTGGATGAGCCTTATATTTTCTACATCTGTCCCTCTTTGATGATATGTATGGTTTTGTAGTGTGGAACTATGATGTAAAAAAAATTTAGATGCATTTTAAGAAGGTTTAAGGATTTAAACAATTCGAAGAATTGTACAATATCAGGTCTGCAATTAACAAATTTCAAGTATAACCTTGGTTGGTCCATATGTTTTTTAAACCTATCCCCTTTTCATGATATATTTGGTTTAGTAGTGTGGAAATATGTAAAACATAATTTAGATAGGTTTAAAGAAGCTTAACGTTTCAAACAAGTTCAAAATCTTGGCGTATTGTACAATATCAGGAATTAACGAATTTTAAGTATAATCTTGCTTGGCCCTTATATTTTTAACATCTATCCCTTTTTGATGATATATGTATATATTGTTTAGTAGTGTGGAGCTAATTTGTAAATTATAATTAAGATGGGTTTTAAAGAAGTTTAAGGATTTCAACAAGTTCAAATTTTTACGAATTGTACAATATCAGAGCTGATATTAATGAATTTTCGGTACTACCTTGGACGAGCCTTATGTTTTTTTACACCTATCCCTTTTTGATGACATATATGGTTTAGTAGTGCTGAACTAATATATTAAACATAAGTTAGACAGGTTTTAAACAAGTTAAAAATATTAAGAATTGTACAATAACAGGTCTGGAATTTATTAATTTTAGGTTTAACTGTGGATGGCCCTTATTCGTTTTTTACATCTATCTCTCAATGATCATATAATATATGGTTGGTAATATATAGTAGTGTGGAACTAAGAGGTAAAACATAATTTAGATGGGTTTTGAGAAGGTTTAAGGTTTTAAAGCTGTTCAAAACTTGACAAATTGTACAATATCATATCTGACATTAACGAATTTCAGGTATATATCTCTCTATGATGATATATATGGTTTAGTAGTATGGAACTAAGACACGGTGTATAACCCAAACGCTCCTACATGCACGACGGAGCGTTTCATTACTGAAATTAAACAAAGAAACGCTCCGGAGTAGGAAAACTGACTGGCGGGAATGATGAGCCGTCTGACGATTTCCCCAATAATGGAAATAAGTATGAGTTACATATTTCGAGTATACCATTCGATGGGTGTGATTTTCATGTTGTACTTGGCTGGCTGTTGACGTTTGAAGCAATTAGGAAGAGCTGTACGAAGCAGTATAGTTATCAAAATTCAAAAACGTATTTGTCATTCTACCGGTCAAAACCCCTTTTGTCGATTCATGTGATTAGTTGAGCTAAGATTAGAGCACCAACGTATATTTTAGTCAAATTCCAATGCTTCAACGCACCATACATTATCGTAATAGTGATTTGATGACCGAAAATCCAGTCTTAAAAATGATGACATTCTCATATTCAAGAAACGCTCCGATCTGGTTAACACAGTGAACTGGAAACGCTCCGGTTGTCTAGATCAGTTTAGGAAATATATAGCTTGCCTTTTCTTTTCAGGAAGAGAAAGAAAAGATCTATTATACCCCTTGGCATCAATAGAAGAAAGATTAATTCACATATAAATTTTCGTTTTTTTCTATAGTTTTATGAGTTAGCACATATGTAGGCATGAGATCATCTAATGTAGGCTTAAATCAGCTAGTTGCACGTTTAGCACCACCAGGTTCAGATGTTTCAATTTGCCTAACAAGTACAACACGTTTTTGAGAGATAGATTCGATTCGAAACTCTTCTCTAATAATCTGAAAATCACATCAAAACAAAATGGTAAGAGCGTTTCTAAAATTGTGTTCTAAATCGACGGAGCGTTTCGAGGAAAACAAGCGATTTCTCGAGAACAAGTAATGGATTTGGACTGGGATTTTAGGAAATGAGAATATACGAGTTTGTGATCTACTACTTTAACAGAAAGATTAACGTTTTCATAGAAATACTAGTTTAATTCGTAATTTGTGGTCAAATCGTCATCTTCAGATTCGTTCGATCTACACTACGGAGCTTTGATCAAGCAAATAACAGTTTACCACCAGAAGTTGAATAAATCAGATCTTTGCTCACGGTATTGTTCATCGAATGGTACATAATATTTCACCATAACATATGATATGTAAGAGAAACGAGAGGAACAATACTTACGGTCATAGTGGAATCTTCATTAGCCGCCATTTTATTTCGCTCCGGAGCGTTTCCGCGTAAATGAAACGCTCCGTCGTGCATGTAGGAGCGTTTGGGTTATACACCGTGTAAGATGTAAAACATAATTTAGATCGATCGGTTTTAAGGAAGTTAAAAGGCAGAATCAGATCTATAGGGGTGATAAAATTACAACAACATGTACAATTCACCTACCAAGCTATTCCTTACAATCTAAAATACAATATCTTTAAAAAGATTCATGATGTGTTAAAACCGGTGAAGTTATAATGGATTCAAAGTGCAAAGATGAGGGAAAAGTGTTTAAATACTCCCAAAATAATAAGAATGGTAACCATTCCTATGGGAAAATAATACATTATTGTAGAAATCTTTAGTTTTCCTGAAATAAAGTGTGCACTTTGGGGATTTTTAGCAAATTGACATGAAAAGGAATGACATATGCCAGAAATATTCAAAAATTTAAACAATTTTTTGTTTGGCTGCTTGCTGGATCTGATTCTCTCTTTAAGGTTTTCAAGAAGTTCAAAACAAAACAAATTGTACATTTACATGGTTTTGTAGTGTGGAACTAAAATGTAAACAAAATTTAGGAATTTGGGGTTTTAAGGAGGTTTATATTTATTACTTATTGCTAAATGATTATCTAGAAATTATCATCATTTTGCATTTTTTATAGTATTAAAAACAGGGTAACCATCAATATTTCATAAATTTCATTTTTATTGGGATCAACTTTGGACTTTCATAACTTTGCACCTCTACTCCAATCACCTTGATCTTTACACCAAAAGGTGTCATTTATCTGTGGCTCAAGCTAAAAATAATAATGATGGCACAAGAAAAATTTGCAAAAAGTACCATTTAAAAAACGGAGGGGTAGGTCAATTTGACCCCCCTCCCCTGCAGACATTAGGGTTAAACTTCCTTAAAACCCAAAATTCCTAAATTATGTTTTACATTTTAGTCCCACACTACAGAACCATGTAAATCATCAAAGAGGTTTAGAATGTAAAGAGCGTGAGGATCATCCAAATCTATACCTGAAATTTGTTAATTTCAGACCTGATATTGTGCAATTTGTCAAGTTTTGAACCTCTTTAGAACCTAAAACTTCTTAAAAACCCATCTAAATTATGTTTTACATCTTAGTTCCATACTACAAAACCATATATGTTATCAAAGAGAGATATATGTAAAAAACATAAGGCTCATCTAAAGCTATACCTGAAATTTGTTTATTTCAGGTCTCATATTGCACAATTTGTCAAGTTTTGAACTTGTTTAAAACCTTAAACCTCCTTAAAACCCATTTTAATTATGTTTCACCTTTTAGTTCCACACTGCTAAACCATATATATCATCAAAAAGGGATGTTAAAAACATAAGGGCCAACAAAGGTTATACTTGAAATCTGTTAATTTCAGATCTGATATTGTACAATCGCCAAGATTTTGAACTTGTTTAAAACATTTAGTTTTTTAAAACCCATCTAAATTATGTTATGCATATTATTTAAACTCTACTAAACCAAATATATCATGAAAAGGGGATAGGTGTAAAAAAACATGAGAACCAACCAAGGTTATACTTGAAATGTGTTAATTGCAGACCTAATATTATACAGTTTTTCACATTTTGAACTGAAAATCCTAAAACCTTCTTAAAATCCACCTTAATTGTTTTTTACATCCTAGTTCCACACTACAAAACAATACATATCATCAAAGAGGGACTGATGTAAAAAATATAAGGCTTACCCAAGGTCTTACCTGAAATTCATAAATTCAGACCTTATATAATACAATTCTTCAAATTTTGACTTGTTAAAATCCTTAAACCTTCTTAAAATCCATCTGAATTATATTTTACAGCTTAGTTTATTACAAAAAATACCATAAATATCATCAAAGAGGGACAGATATAAAAAACATAAGGCTCATCCAAGGTCATACCTGAAATTCATAAATTCAGACCTGATATTGTACAATTCTTTAAATTTTGGACTTATTTAAAACTTTAAACTTCCTTAAAACCCATTTTAATTATTTTTTACATCTTAGTTCTGCACTTTAAAACCATATTTAACATCAAAGAGGGATGGATCTAGAAACTATAAGCGTCAGCTATAGTCATACACAAAATCACCCATCTCGAAAATGTCAAAATTTTCAAAAAATCAACAATTTTTTTCTTGGCTCCTACCGCTTCAATTAGGTTGAAACTTTCAGGGCTCATAGGACTGCTACTGGGCACTTCACATGAATTTTTCCAATGTCTTCCAGTGTCTAATTGAAAAGTGAGGCTCTAAATAGTAAGAAAATGGGTCACGAATTTGCCCCCTAGGGTACACACTTTGTACTATTATTCAAATTCTGTAGGAGTGATTGGCATTATTTATTTTTCAAATGATTCATATATATAATGTCTATATATGCAACTTACAAACATCAAGATATCTAAAGTTATTGAGAATGAAAAAATTATTTTACCGAGGTGGGGTGTTTTTGGGGGGTGGGGGGCTAACCCCTGGAAAAAAAGAATTATGTACCACTCTGTGAAGCTATCACCTAGGTAGAATTTTCATCCAAGACTTTCCCCTAACTGAAAATGCTGCCAAACCAACTATACTCCATTTATTAAAAATTTTCCTCCTCGCTCTTAGAGTAATACTAGTAGTCCCATTTACTCACTACATTGTAGGAAGCTAAAGAGACGAGGCATCGTTTCATCCATGACGTGTGTATTAACTACTAACACATGCTCATGCCCAAACAGCCGTATCCATTCCTCAACCACAACGTAGTAAACGCCAATATGGAGGCGCAGCTAGAATAAGTAATTTTTGAATAAATAGCATGAAAACTGAAATGAAAATGCAGATCTCCTAAATATCATTAAAAACGAGACTTAAACGAGATTTCAAAGCTATATGGAAAGTCCTCTATTGAAAGTAATTTTAGAATACATAGCATCTAGCCGTCTGTAATTAATGTTTCATTTGAATATTGGAAAAAGTGGTGTGATGAAACTATCAGTTAATATGATTTATGGGGTTTGTACAAGGTAACCATAACATTAAATAAAAATTCTGACTTTTCCCTGGATCACTGCAGCATGCGTATTTAGTAAACAAGCTAAACAGAAGACACAGAGTGTACTATCCAGCTTCGCCCCTTGGTCATTATTTTTCCTAATACCTAAGACTCATTGTTTATCCCTTGAAAATTGCCCTTCGTCAGACTTAGCTTCTTAGCTCAGGGATTTGGCAGCTGAACAAGAGTTCGGTTCTATTTATTTGTATTCAGTACACTTACCCATGGATAGCCAACCTCTCTGAGGTTTTTAATATTCTTTTCATAAACGCATGCTCTGAGCGTCACCCCTGACTTGAGGCATCTCTGGAACTCAGTAATGGCGATGATTGCTTTGCTATGGAAATCCTCTGGGGACTTTGGCAGGTTGGTGCTAAAGAACATGTACTCTGAGTAGAGCCTGAAATACACGAAGCAATATGTAAATTGAGCCTTTAATTCCCAGGCTTTAATTCTGGCCAGTGAACAAAAGACCCTGCATGACTTGTAAATTCACAAGTCATTGATCCCCTAAAATTTTTCTCATGGAGTACAAATTTATTTTGGGCATGCAGCACGCATCGCTCGCATCGATTAAATCTTGAAAAAAATCCGAATCCTACGACCACTTTAAACGTAGTGGGTTTCGAAGATTACCTACTGGCCAGTGAACCTAATAGCTTACTAGTATTGGCTAGTGGGCACAAGAGCCTACTGTCTAGTGAACGTAAGAACCTTAAAGTCAGTGGACGAAAGAACCTACTAGCCAGTGGGCACAAGCGCCCATTTACCAGCGGATATAAGAACCTACTAGCCAGAGGACATAAGAGTTTGTTGGCCAGTGAACTAAAGAGCCTAATGGCTATTTGACACATAAAGCTACTAGCCAGGGGACATACGAGTCTATTGGCTAATGGACACACAAACCTACTAACCAATGGACATATAAGAGCTCACTGGCTAATGGACACATAAACCTACTAACCAATGGACAAACGACCCTACTGGCTAATGGACACACAAACCTACTAACCAATGGACATAAGACCCTACTGGCTAATGGACACACAAACCTACTTACCAATGGGCATAAGAACCTACATGTACCTGTCAACCGGGTTCCTCAGAATGAAGATTATTTTAGCATTGGGTTGTATGTGTGCGATATAGTGTCCATTGGTCCGTTTAGGTCCTTTATGGCGATCCCACTTTTCTAGCCCTGTCCACCAAGCTGTACTGGCACTTGCCTCGCCTGTTTGTGAACACATAGAGACAACTTAACAAATCGAGAATAAATCCTACACATCCTTCCCCAAAGGACTTCATTTATGCTCAAACTCAATGTGTCTGTCTAACGTATATAAAATGTCCTTGCAGCAAGGATAAATCCTACAATGCATCGATTGAAAAAACTTCAAACTTTCAGATATGCAACATTTATTAAATTATTATGGATTGCCTCGATTGAGCATGGAGATGAACGATTTCAAAAGATGTGTTGATTCAGATTCTACCTGGATATGTTAAATCTAGTTGAAATACTAAGGTAAAATAAAACAATATGGGACTTCCGTCAACTACCCGGTTGTGATGTTATGGTATATCATTTCCACTATGTGCGAGTGTGCTAGCTCAGAAGTTTCAAATGCCAAATAGCCCTACATTTCACATTTCGGGGGTACCAATTCGCACCAGCAGCTATACCTGAATAGGCCTGAGCCAGGATTAGCCAAGGGGGATCAAATTCTTGGTGGAGTTTACTTTGGACAATTTTGGTCCAAAAATGCGAGCTCAGAAGTTTCAAATGCCAAAATAGCCTTACATTTCACATTTAGGGGGTACCATTCCTCACCAGCAGCTATACCTGAATAGGCCTGAGCCAGGATTTGCCAAGGGGGGGGGGATAAATTCTTTGTGGAGTTTAGTTTTGACAATTTTGGCCAAAAAGTGCTCAGAATGGTGAAATACTGCATGGTTTTAAAAGACATTTTGGGCAGGGGGGTCACTCTCTTAAAGCCCATGCTCGAATCCATTAAAACCCCTTAGTTACGGGCATGCTGAAACTCGAACTGAACAGAAGCAGACAAGACTCAGAGAGTTCAATAAGACAGAACTGAAAGCAGGATGCATGTAAACTTACGGTGGAACTTTCGTACCAGTTATTTTCTGCATTCCCTTCATTTGACTTTTCCGTATATTGACTGCCATTCCTTCAAACGCATTGACGTAATCGGACAAAGGTAATGGTTCTGAAAGAAAAAAGGAACATCATACATGTACAAGTAAGCGGCAGCATATTAGCGATAACAGTGTTGCTCTTTTGCTTTTTTATGAAATGATCGATTTATGGAACCTTGAAAACACCTTATCTAAAACATATCAATGGTATTTGCATTAAATATCACACATATTGTCAAGTTTTTCGCTCTTTTACATCAATACACAGATTATCAAACATGTCAAATACTCAAAAACAAGTCAATATTGACCGGACATACCATGGTGACCTTTTGAATAACTCTGCAGTTATTTCAATAATATCAAATTTAGGACACTTGGAAATAATCAATTCCTACATTAAATGTAACTTAGTACCGTCCAAGCACTCATTTTCATGTTTTCTACATCATCCAGTTAACGAAAGATTTGAATAGCTGTCTTTTCTATTCAGTTTTGTTCTTAGCCACAATGTCGTCACAATTTTAATTCCGAATGGATTTGAACAACTCTGCATTTGATTATTCTGTTTTTAGAAAACAAAATTAAGATTGTAAAAAAGCATTATTGTGGTATGGTTATTATGGCATCACCACAAGTGTTGACACATTATTATCTGGTTATAGTCTCCAACTTTTTTTGTGGATGGTGTTCGGAAGTCGGCGTTTGGAGTTGTTGTGGAGGTCGGAGTATGTAGCAAATGGTAGGTGGTGACATTTTGCAGATTAATGCCTTGTTGATTGCTTCAACCACTCCCTGTCCATTATGATTCCCCCTTATCAAACTTACTTCGATTGTGGTCTTTGGTGTTTAGGGCTCTCAGGTATGACCACCAGTGGTACTCCTTCAGCAACGGTGTCGCAACTTCCGGGTTTCTCGAGATCATGCGAAATAGGTTCGATGTTCCAGATTTCACCATCCCTACCACATAGAAGTATGGTAAACAACGTAACTTCCAGCCAAAACTACGCCCCACCTCGGACACCCACTTGGGAGTGACGGACATATTCGCCTTGCGGAAATGAAAGTTTGGGGACATGTTCGTGTTACGTGCTATCCAGCAAGGATTTTTGTAGTCCTTCAGAAACCTTACTGGCGTCTAAAATATAAATTGTTCGTGTCTTTTAATCCAAAGTTTATTTAGGAGCGTGTGCATGAACATGTCCATGGTTTAGCCAACAAAGAGGAGTTCGTCAGTTATGGCTGATTTTACAAAAAGCACACCATGTTTAGGGGACCATTCCATGAAGCGTTTAACAATCATCACTCAAAATAATAAATAAGTTGAAAAATTAAAGGTCAAAATCGATATTTCGGCTTAGATGAATCATAATTAGTCTGACTGTCAACGTTTCTATGCGAAGTGTACATTTTATTTCTCAGTTGTATAAAATCTTTAATAAACACCCCGCTCATATTCCGAAAATTTGATTTCAAGAATGTTTTGTGGTAACATTAATCTAATTATTAATTGATATCAATCTTCATAACCAAAAACAAGGCAGCTGCATCAATTTCTCATGCCTAAATGCTCAAAATTATCAGATAGATCTCATATTATGTTCTATCAGAAAATATTAAAAAATACATGTACACTCAATTTGTTTATATCTGCATATGAAAACTGCTCATCCATGGATATGTGTCTTATATTATACTAACTTGATTACGGTGTTGATTGCATACTAAAAGTTTGTACCATTTAAGAATCCACACTGAATAATGTATGTTTTTGTACTTTTTAACATTGTACATCTTAAAAAAATTGAGATACCGTCAATATAACAAAGTATAAGTGCTTTCTTTTATAATTTTTTTTCGAAATTGGCAATAGAAAAAAATCTAAAACTCAAGGTCTGCCTTCGGTGAATGCGATCATAGCCCCGGCCAGCTTGCTGTAGTGGACTACTGTATATACATATAGGTATCAGTAGCACGATTGGAACGGAATCTATGAAGAGCCGCCAGTGTATAAGTTGTAAAATCAGGATAGGTAGATTCTGCACGATTTTGGTTTAACAGAATATCACTGATGTACACTCCCCTCCATAAGTTTGGCAATCTGAAGATTCCATTACATAACATCAAACCCAGTCGATTTTTGAATCTTAACCATATTCCTCTATCACAATAGTTCGGAAATGTATGATGTATAATTTAATGAGTTTTCTTAAATCGTCAAACATACACAGGCTTTGATAGGTGACCCACAAGGAGACGTCCGGTTGTCGAACTTATGGAGGGGGGGGGTGTATCTTCTTACCATGTCCAATACACTTTTATTTCCTGTACTGTCTCGTTCAAAGTTTTCATAATGCTGGAGCAATACATCCAGATTGAAGCGGTCGACTTCGTCGGTAATATTGAAATAATCAGCGATTTCTTCAAGTTGGTCTTCCTGGAAATAAAAGAGACTCAATTAATTGCATTATGGTTCAATTAGCCAACCATTGCCAGTTTCATCTCAAAAAGATTGTTTTTGCTTAAGTACCCAGGACACCAGAATGATCCAGTTGCATAAAGATTGTTGGTACCACACCAAAGCTAAGTGAGCAGTCATGCTTTAGAAATTCAAGATTGAGCTCTTCGTGGATTGCTTCGTTGACGTGTTTGAAATGCTTCTATGACTGATGTGATTGCCGATTCATTGATAGATATAATTCCTCAAATTTCACTCTTAACATTCAATGAAATTCACTAATGTACTTATGAAAGTTTACTTACTCTGAGCTCTACAACTTGGTTTAAAACAAGCAACTATGAGCCCAATAATGTGTAAGAAAATTGTTCATAACAAATGTTCTACCGATTAAAGAATTTTGGATTTTTATTTCAACTCAGAATAGTTTGCACGTACTGTACCTTTAGTATAAATGAGGACGATCTATTGGACAAAACGTTGATATTCAATCGAGACGCATCATTCGCAAAATGTTTTTCCAAGTGTCTAGTGATCCCTGCACCCAGATCCAGTATAATCCAAATTATAGCGTACAACAAACAGATAGCAAATGCCACCCTGGCTAACTTTGACCGCATACCTATCCAAATCCCTATGAAAATTCCATCATTTTGGTAATGTTTCAAATCGTAGATATATCCCATCTTCTCATAATAGGTGACACGAGACATGCCGACTTTGAAGCAATATTTGCTACCGAACTTCAATATTTCAATTCATAGTTTTGTTTTTATGATAGCTTTATCAATACCAATGAAAGTATACATTGAATATTTGAAAATACGATACACAATATTGGCATTTCATTAAATATGATACAAACGTGGTGTTGAAATAGATTAGTGAATTTTAAACAATAAGGTAGTAAAAAATTTCAAAATAACAATTTGCCACAGGTCATCGGCCTCTAACTGTAACTGCCACCTACCATTGTATTCGAGCCATTGCTTTTACAGCTGGGCGTACTGGATCATTATACAGATGCTTCCTTATTAGTTTAATGGGATCTTAACTAGTTAACAGCAACGCCAAAGCGTAACAAATCCCATCGATCGGCTGATATTTACACAATCCTTCCACTACTTTTTCAGTTTTCAGACTTGTGACTACACGTCGGTGGGTTGAAAGCTTTTTCTACAGAGGCGTTCCCGTTGGATTGTGTAACTCATATGGATGCATATGGCATGATAACATAACAACAGAATGTAGTTTAATATTATTTATTCATGATGTAAAACCTAGAGATAAATATTAGGATTAATATTACAGATGACATGATCTTGTGGTGAATCAAACATTTTCATGTAAATCAATGATAGATTGGCAAATAATTCCATACATGCAATTTACACAATTTTCCTTTAATAACTCATTTGTTATGACAACAATTTTATTGAAAATCATATAAAAATCATTTAATAATAATAAAAAATGAAATTACAATATAAATTCTACTACAATTACAGTATTAGTACACAAATCAAGAGTAAATCAAATAATTACAAAAATCGAAATAAATATTGTTAATCACAATCAATATTAAGGAGTACATTATTGATAAGACATCAAAAGTTTGACACGTGACCTTCAAAAGATACAACTGACATCATTTAAAAAATAAACTAAACTTCCACATACTAGTATATAATTTCGGTAGAATGAGAATGTTGATGATAGATGATTTAATAAAAGGTCAAATAAACTGACCAATCATTTATTGCTGTGATTACTGTATACATACTATAATAATTAATAGATACAATGTGAGTGATAATACAGTATAAAACAGTATTTCTACAGTGTATACATTTAATATATTATTTGAGCTAGGTAATAATATTAATACACAGGTTGTGACCAGACTACAGTTTTATACATATGTATATACATGTAAATACAATATTAAAGGCAGCAGATACAGCCTTATAGTCAGTACATGCATAAATGAGCCATGCTAAAACATTTCTGGCTCTTTTATGGTGATAACTGACAATAGCACCTAAATCGTAAATCAACAACTCTAGTGTTTCACAATGGCTGCCTTCATCAGGGACTAGCTCAAAATAACACAACTCTATTTTAAATTCAAAAGTCACAAAGTATAACCCTCAATTGTTAGATGCAACCCAAATAATTGTGACGAATTATATTTTGTGACATGGTCAATGATCTGACTCACTAGCATAAATGCACACATTTTGAGTCGGGGCAATCTGCGCGAGATTCGGTTTTTACTTGGTTCGGTTTTTCATTAAAGGAAGTATTTCATTCCCATGATTCAAAGTGCTTTTCTGCCATCAGTTCGGTTTAAGTTTGTACAACACACGTCTACAAATCCGGGGCAGGTTGATATTATGTCATTACATTTGTTTTGGGTGTATACTTTCTGTTTTGACACAAAACAAAAATATTCCCACACTATATGGTGCATTATGGGTAGGGACTGCTGTGAAATAATGAACGTAAGTGACATCTATCTCAAATTAAATGTTCTTGTTACGTTATCAATCTCGCTACCCTGCGTGCAGAGTCTAGTTAAACTACACTCTGCCTAGAAGAGACCATATTACAGTTTAGTAGCCCCGCCCCATGACGGGTACCGGTGACAGTATGGGTAAATCACCTTTGACCTACGCGCAGACCTTCCACCAATCAGCGAGCTTGAAGAAACATACGGCAAATGCGTTCTAATTAAATATGCGCATGTCATTGGTCAATTCCGGGCTCAACGATTACGTCAGAAGGAATGACCATATAAAGAACGTCGGTCAAATTTGGCCGACGAACACTGATTGGCGCGGTGAGTTCACAGGTTTATTTTAGTTTGAAAGAGTGAAGACGAAGCTCTCTTTTAAGAAGTGTAGTCAAACGAATGCAAAGGGTACAATCTCGCATGCGTGATAATAATTTGAACCAATTAAATTACTCGATTTAATGCGCATGCGCTTAAAACCGAACCAAAAAATGGAATCTCGCGCAGATTGCCTCTAGTGCACATTTTTCTAGAATTTCAACAAAATGGCTTCCAGCCTCAAAAATTAACCAATAAGGAGAGAGTTTGGCCACAGTGCTGCCATCTTATGTGAGGTCCATTAAAGTGACTGGTTGAATAAATTCTTATATAAATATATAATTTTCCATATACAGTGAGGAATGAGCGCCACAGTTGTACATGCATTAGATCAAAGTAAACTTGATCATGCTGTTTTTAAAACGTTTGACCAAGGCTCTACAGTTAACATTATCTACAAATTAGTAGCTTTAAGTACCTTTAAGGCAAGACAGTGTTTTGGCCATATAAAGCTTAGCCAGTCCATTAACAACATAATTTATGTTCATATTTTGCTTGATTGTACTAGACGTCCATGTACAATTGGATATTAACAACATGATTTGTGTTCATATTTGGCTTGGTTTATGTTCATAAAGTACTTATGTCAATGTACAATTGGATTTATTTTCAATGTAACTTTGGAAAAACTTTAAAATGATATATGACACATACTATGACGACACTGGTAAATGTCTGCCTAGGGGGGGGGGGGCATACTTTCGGGACACCCTGTAGGTTTGTTATTTCCATATAAGGCTTGTGTACATATATCAATATAAGGCTTACTCATGTCCATATAAAGTTGTGTTGCTCATTCCCCTCTGTAATGGTTGATTTCTATAAATATGACTGTCTCAGATGGGATACCATGATGTGCACGGTGTCACTATATATCAATATATCATAGTATCCCACCCTAGACTGGATGTCTGTCTGTCTGTCTATAATGCCTGGATTCCAGTTATGTACACTTTGTGTCTTGCTATGTATGCCTGGTGTCTAGATATTGTCTAACTATGTTCACCTTGTGTCTCACCATTGTCTAAGCAATGTATGCCTGGTGTCTAGCTATGTATGCCTGGTGTCTGGCTATTGTCTAGCTATGTTCACCTTGTGTCTCACCATTGTCTAAGCAATGTATGCCTGGTGTCTAGCTATGTATGCCTAGTGTCTAGCTATGTATTCCTGGTGTCTGACCATTGTCTAAGCAATGTACGCCTGGTGTCTAGCTATGTATGCCTGATGTCTGGCTATTGTCTAGCTATGTACGCCTGGTGTCTTGCTAAATCCCCTTGGTGTCTAGCTAGGTTTGCTTGTTGTCTAGCTTAATCGCCTGGTGTCTAGCTATTGTCTAGATTACAAACTTGATGTCTAGCTAAGTACGCCTGGTGTCTGTAGCTGGGTCGTCAGTGCCACTGCCCTCATCATCTGTCATGACTGTGACTAGTGTCCCTACCACCTTGCCCACCTGGCCTGCTGCATGGTACAATGCTCCTACATTGCTGGCACCTAAAATGTATGTTCAATGATATAATGGCCATGCTTGTATTCAAAACAAGGCATTAACATGCAAAATGTCACCACCTACCAATTGTTACAGATGCCGACTGCAGAATGCTGAACACTATCCACAAAAAAGTTGGAGATCATAACAAAATTACAAATGTTAGTAACATAGTGAGTATAATAAACAAACTCAATATCCACATGTAAGTAGCAATTAAATTCCAATGAACAAAATGTCATGTTTCCTCATTTTGAATACTACTTACAGGCTAGTAACTCAAAAATATGTCATCTTTATGATAATCTTATTTAACTTTGCCCATTTAAAAATCAAATTCCCACCTTTATTTTGTTCAGGGGGAGGGAAGGCATCGTTGAGCTCTTTCATGACAGTTTCCAACTCAGCATCTTCCTTTGGCTTGGATTCCCCTGCTGGGTTAGTGGAGTCTTCTGCAATAACATGTAAGTTTATGTTAACATGGTAAGTACAGCATTTATGTATTGTAGATATTCCAAGTAGCATTACATAACATAAGTTATTTGTACGATATGATTAGGTATAAAATAGACATTTTCAATGATCTGGTTCATTTGCCTTTTAAACCACCATGTAAGTAGCTTTTTGCAGGAAAATCAAGCTTCATTGAATTGTGATCTGGAAGCCAATTTTCTTTTGTGGGGGATTATAGGAAATTGAATAGTGGTTGTTTCTATTGTCCTGACTGAGCACTCACCATTGGAAGGTTTGTTGTGTCCATTCATTTGGTGTAAGGTAGGAGTGAACCTAGGACGAGGAAGGCTACCATTCAGGGAACTCTGGGAAGAAGCATTTGACGATTGTTGAGATGAGTAATGACTTTGACGGACGATCACTGGAGCATCTGAATTCGGCTGGAATAGAAAAACAGTAAAAACTCAGGATTTTCATTTTGATGCCAATTGGGAATCCACTGTACTTTGACTATTTTGTGGTAATACATTGCATTGTACTTTCACTAATTTGTGGTAATACACTGTGCTGTACTTTCACTATTTTGTGGTAATACACTGCTGTACTTTCACTATTTTGTGGTAATACATTGCGTTGTACTTTCACTAATTTGTGGTAATACACTGTGCTGTACTTTCACTATTTTGTGGTAATACACTGCTGTACTTTCACTATTTTGTGGTAATACATTGCGTTGTACTTTCACTATTTTGTGGTAATACACTGTGCTGTACTTTCACTATTTTGTGGTAATACATAGTGGTGGACTTTCACTATTTGCGCACCTATCAATTTCCAAAGTGTTTGCAATTGTCTCATGTGTAAAACTTACTTGGTCTAACAGTTGTCTTAGTCTTTGTAACTGAGCCTCTAACTGTCTATTGTGGTCCTCCAGTATCTGCATCCTTGCCTCTAGCCTCCCCTTGTGTTGCCTTAGCAACTTGGCCTCAGCAATCATTTCTGTATCTCTGCTAGTATCAGCATCAGAATCATCCACCTATAACAAAGAAGTTGGGTCTTTCAATATGACTTTTTATTGGATTAGTTTCAACGGTACCACATTAATTCAATCAATTATAGTTCTAAACACTTTAAATAGATGGCATTCATATAGCTTTTGATGGTGTATGTTATGACTATAATACAATATACATACACTGTTGCTCATAAATATGGAATATTTTATAGATACGAACTGTTCGATGGAATTTCTACAAAATTATAACATTTTCATTAAAATTTGTAATGTGTTCTCATTCCCTCATCAGTTTTGCATATAAAACTGATTGGTATGAAAAGTTAAAACATTTATGGTTGATTAAACTTGTATTCACTAAGGTGACCCCATGACATCATGATATTGGTAACTTGAAAGAGGTGTCCAAATCTTAGTTGTAATCATTGTGCACATTTTATAAAAATTTAATTTAGAGTTAGAAGGGTTTTTAGAAGGCATGCCCCATAGAATAAGCGAAAAAGAGCATGGCAGGTCATAGGGATGGCGCTCTCTGGCATGAAACAAACTGCCATTGCCAGGACCCTAGGGATGTTTCAGGAACAGTCTCTAAAATTTTGTAGTGGTACCAAAGGCTATGATATGACTCCAGGTCACAGTAATAGTAGCCCTAGAGAGAAAAAGGTAAGAAAAGACCACCAACAGCTCCATTTATGTTATCAAAATCGCTTTAAGTCAACCAGTAGTCTACGAGATGAATGGCTGTCTCACCTCAAAACCCGCGTTTCAGAGCTATAGACAACCAGTGATTTATTTATAACCGATGAAAGGCCATGAGACCTTTAAAGAGACCACAGCTGACTGATGATAACAAAGAAAGGTGCCGTCAATGGGCTGGAAAGCACCAAAACGTTGGACCTAATCTTTGGTGTCATATGACAGCATGTGAAGAAATAAGATGCGTCCTCCACAAAGTTGATAATTGTGTTCGTTTCTGTCGTAGACCAGGGGAAAGAGACAATAAGGACACTTACTGATGTAGCAGTCCATGAAGGCGACCCTATTTATGTTTGGAGCAGTATTACAGAGGTTGTTTGGAGCAGTACTACCGAAATAGCACCCCCTTGGTGATTCCCAAACATAATTTCAGGGTAAATTGACCTTTTGGACCTCCATCAAGTACCATATGTAAACAGAGTGTTTTGGGGCAACACTCAACAGCAGAATGATCATGCTGTTGCGTATGCTAGTGGCATCGTGTTGGATTACATCAGGGCAGGCAATGTGGACCAGCCACCATGGGCACAAAAGTCAGCCAATCAGGCTAATGCAGAGCAAATGTGGGACGACCTTGGTAATGAGATTCGTGACTTGGACCCCCACCTCAAAATTTAGACACGTTACGCACTGCCAAGATTGAGGAATGGGGCCTTATTTCACTTTGAAAGGCCAGATGTTTCATTCAATGCTGGTCCCGTAGGGTTGATGCTCTGATTGCAGTACAAAGAGGACATAACACATATTAGTGCGATAATTGGATAGAGGACACTTCAATCTTCATGACCAGATGTTCATCTTGTTTGATCTGTTTTACAGGACGATTTGGATCGGGGTATTTTGAAAATGCCAAAATTCTTACCATACCCCTGTTCAAGTAACAGTAATTTTTAAAAATTAAATGTTAATATTTTTTCTCTAAAAAATGTTGATTTGCAGGCGAAATATGTGGTTATGATTTGCCTAGAAAATAAATGTCTGAGCCAACTCCAAATAAATGTTCTCTTACTCCAAACTTTTAATTCTGAGCTGCCAAATTTAATATTCCATATCTATGAGCAACAGTGTATATTACGAGATTTTAGCTTCATGAAAATAAATACTGAACAACTCGAAAAAACAAATTCTCACTGACCTAACCTCTCAAGACACATATTCAAAATTGTTAAATCAATTTAATCCTATTAAAATCAGACATGTGAATACTTTTTATCAAAATACAAAAAATTAAACAAAATTTTTTTTCATAGAATCTCCTTACCTGGAAGCTTTGTCCTGTGTCTTCCTCCTGTTGCGCCATCTTTAATCGATCATACTCTGCCTGGAGATTTTTATTCTCCTCCTCCAGGTCATGTATCATTGACTGGAGTTCCCCACGTTGCTCTGAGTCTATGGCCATCATGATCTGCATGGGGCTTTTCAGCTGACTGTTGCTCCCATGCTCTCCATTCAGACTTTGGCAATACTGGGCAATCAACTGATGTTCATCTTCCCTAAACACAAGAACCATGAAATGTTATGATGGACTAAGTTCCTGGTTATACAGTAAAACCTGTAAAGTGGAACATCTCTGAAAATGGAACATTTCTAAAGTGGAACAGTTTTCAGACTACCTTTTCCCATTAACTGTCATGTAAGTGGAACACCTCCAAAACTTTCCACTTGGATAAGTGTAAATGATTTATTCTGTCCTTAGTCATTTAAGCAAGTCACATTTATAGTTTATAGAGAGGTGTGAGTCTTGCCCATAAAGTTTGATTTCTCTATTTATTCTAGTTTCATTCCTAAATTGTACTGTATTCATAATTTGATGTTAAAGTAAACTCAATCTCCAAGTGTTAATCAATGGTTGAAGAATTACTGTAAATTATCAAAATTTAGTTACAGAAATGGAATTATCATAACTGGATACTGTTATAATGAACATGGAATTATCATAACTGGATACTGTTATAATGAACAAGGAATCAGTAAACTGTTTGACTTAGATCATGAATTGTCATTTATTATACTGCATGTAATAAAATAATTTGAGTAAAAATCTTTTTTTGTGCTGAGGGTGCTTAAAAGATGTACATGTATATGTTTAAAGTCACTCAAGGGCAAAATGGTGCTTTAGAAAAAGATGAGAAATAAAGATGTTATAAATGATGTATATGAACATTTATAGGTTTTAAATTCAGCTGAATATACGAGGGTTGATCATAAAATTCTCATAATATCTCTCTAATTTCTTTATTTTTCAATATATTCTCATGAAATTTTCACAGAATGTGCAGCATAGAATGTTTTATTAATTCAGCAGATCTTTTTTAGTTTAACAGAAATATTAATTAAGAAACGATTGCCATAGTAACGGGAAGTCAAGGCACCCGGGGCAAATAAAAATAATTGAGAAAATGAGCTTAATTAACCATGTTTATATACATAATAAACTCTCATGGATTACCAAACACGTTAAAATGTTAACTTGAATATGTTGTAAAGTGCTTTAACAATTAAATAAATCGATCGTGTAAATTGTGTGATGTCATAGGGGATGCTTTCATGCTCAATTAGATGTGATACCAGAGTCTTGAGACTCAAAGCTAATGATCAGAAATGACTGGGTGAGAGAATGCAATAGATGCTGAGATCTTCAGAAAAATAAATTCATACTGATAAAATGTCATGTTAAGTTTCTAAGATCCTTTGGTCAGACTAAACATGATCTAAAACAAATATACTGCTAAGATATCAAAAAAATTACACCCTGTGTGTTGTCTGTACATGTTCAAAATGAACTGAAGGGGCAAAATCAATTTTCCTCAGGATATTTGACAAAACAGTAATGGGGTCTAACAGTCACTTCTAATGAAGCATAACAATGATCCATTATGAGATCACACAATTCACATTACCATTATAATAGTTCACAATAGTCAAGAGCCCATATTATTTGACAATTTAATGTGTTTGATAGCTTATTTGACATTTTATTATGTCTTTAAACATTGTTAATGGGGGCTATTCTAGCTAGCTTATTTATTTGCCCCGGGTGCCTTGAAGTCAAGTTACTATGGCAACTATTTCTTTTTTAATGTTTCTGTTATTCTAAATATTGTTTGCTGGATTAATAAAACATTCCATGCTGCACATTCTGTGAAAATTTCATAGGAAAATATTGAAGAATAAAGAAATTAGAGAGGTATTATGAGAACTTTATGATCAACCCTCGTATATGATGCTTAATGCTAAATAGTTCTGTTTTCATTTCATCAGAATTGAAGGCAATACTGTATATATGTCTCAATACTGGCCAACACTTTTTGGTACTTTTAAAGTTATGGTTCAGGTAATCTAAAGGGATTAGAGAAACAGGAGCAGTTGTTTCTTTTATATGTTGTTAAGAATGAAGTATTTCAATCAATGTCTATGGCCATTTTCATACTATATTGTACATATCTAAAGCTACAATGTGAGGACACGCAAAATGGTATAAAACACTCATGTGCAATCTATGGAAACATACACTAACAAGCACAAAGAAATGTACCATTGGAAAGGAAATAAAGACACACAACAGACAGAAAACTGTAAAAAATCATTTCTGTAATGAGAAAGATGCCATACGAATAACTGAACAGAAAAATGTGTCTAGGTAATTAAAGTCATTCTACAAAAGACAAAATAAGGCATCAAAATTGAAAATAAATGTATAAGAAATTGAATATATGAAAAGACACATGAGAAAACATGGAAATGTAAATAAAACTGGATGTTAAAGTGTACATACATGGTTAGTCGAATTAGTACCAGGCTGCCAAAAAACAATGAGACACATTAAAAGCAGTGTTATATACAGGGTGACCAAAAAACATTACCCTCTTGTTTTAGAATAGCGTTGTCAATTATGAAGAAATTTTCACAAACATTTTTTGTGTGGATAGAGTGGCAATACAGGAAAAATTGTTCTTGCATATTATCAATAATTTAAGAAATTCAGAGGACTCGATCAAATGAAGGCCAAAATAGGAATCCCAATTTCAAAAAGTTGCACTTTCTCAATTGAACACTTAATCTGCATATAAAAATCAGTTTTGATTACCATGTACATGTACATGTTATATATAATCAAATCAACACAGTAGGAAAGATGGGCGTTTAGGGTATATTTTTAAGCCTGGACTTGGAGACTCTTTCTTCCTACGAAATAAACTATGCATATCATAGGTGTAGCCAGGGGGGTGCGATGGGTGCACCCCACCCCGCCCATAACCAATAAAAGTATAACCATGAAAAGAAGAAGAAAATAGCTTTAAAATGCTTTTTATTTGAAGCTTCTAGCTCAATTTGAAGGAAGTTGCCTCAATTTTTGTAAAATTCAAGATAAATCTTAATTTTTTGGTTTGTTTATGCCACAATCGCACCACCCTGACTGAAAACCAAATTTTTTTGGCGATCACACCCGCTGACTGAAAGCTGGCTACGCCCCTGCATACATCCTTCCAGGATATGCAATACATGTATACCATTTGAAACACATATACTATTACACTGTACAAGCAAATTAAACTCAAGGCCCCTCCATGGATAAATCCTTATGACACAACAAACTTTTATGAATTTTTTAAATTACCAAATCATATTCTTCCAAAATGATGCCCAAAAAGCCATGTTAAGTGTGTAACTTACGAGTCTGGTTCTGCAGAGCTGTGTTGACGTTGCTCCACTTCAGCCAATCTGGAATGAATGACACAATTATCATTAAGGAGTCTATTTAGCATAAATCTAATTACGTAACATAGCAACTTCTTGATTAATTTAACATCATGTGCTATTTGTATATGTTGTCTAACGCAGCCACAGATTAGCACTATAATCATATTGCTTAATAACAACAATTGTTTATCTTCTTTTTCAAATTAATAATTTTATTCATCATATGTTCAAGGATATTTCACTTTCTGCGTTAGCAGCGAAGCATGTTCGTTAAGGATGCATTTCATTCAGCCTAAAAGGTTACATGTACAGCATTATAACCCTCTAGAGGTCTATAATACACATGGAATGAATAGTTAATCTTGATATTGATGGGTTTAGTTTATAAAATATTACATATAGTATATGTCACATATAATGTACATTGTATTCATTTGTTGGTTTTAATGCTTAATGTGGTACTAGAGTTCACCACCAGAAGTAGCGACATATTGTTAAGTCTCAAACTTTTTATGGACAGTGGTTGGTGTTCCGCATTCGGCGTCTGTAACAGGCGTCTATAACAAATGGCAGGTGGTGACATTTTGCATGTTAATGCCTTGTTTTTCTTATGCTGCTACCATTGAGGAAATAGAAATCAACTCACCTGTTTGCGTAAAGCTCTATTCTTGAATGCATGTCTTGGGATGATGTATGATGAGGGGTTGCTGAAGGTGAGGGGCTGCAATGAGATAATAATCAAACATACATTTCAGTGATCTCCCCAGGATTTTTTCTCAGGTGGGTGCAAAATTCTCAATTTTACAATTTAAACCAAAACTGGTCAAAATATGCCCATTTTCATGATTTTTCTCATTTTCAAGTGGGTGCAAATGGATTTCCAGCTGGGTGCGAGCCTATTTTCAAAATCTCAGATGGGTGCTGCGCCCACTTGCTTTAATGCTGGGGATATCGCTGCATTTAATATATATACTATCAATACAATAAGATGAATCTACCTAATGCCAGCCTATTCCCTTTGTTACATCATACACCTTTCTATTGTTCTATTCAATACATTATAGTCAATGGCTGGATGAAAGAACTTTTCAATGAGTGTTTTGGAAACCGAACATCATATGTACAAAGGAGATTCAAAATATTGACTACAACCAGTAAACCAGCCTATTATTTCGATGATATCCTACTCTAACATTGGCGCCACTTTAGCCTCCTTAACCTAGCTAATAGAATCTTCCCACTTTGCCAACCTTAATCTATTTTAATCTTCATGATGTAACAATGAAAGGAAGACCAGGTGCTGCATTAAATGTCAACTCCCACTATTGCATATTAGTTAACTGCCCCCAGACTAGAGACAAAATATCTCATCATATTGCTTTTTTTCTATTCTCTCCGAGCTTGCATAACAGAATGACAAAGACCATCTATTACTTTTCACTCTTTCAATGTTATGCACCTGTTATTGTAGAAGAGACCTTTAACCATTTCTATTAAACACTTTATTTTCTCCATTATGTATGATATCATACTTTAGACAATTCCATGTACATTTCTTTTTTGTAAGATGAATATATGAAGATATTTTGTATATAGGAATATGATGTCAATCTTGATATAGGTATAACATATCATGATATTTTCTGTACATGATGTCATTTTCTGTACAGGCCTTCAATTGATGACATTTTCTTCATAGGTATTGGTAATAGTGTCACATTAATCTGGAATAACCTTATAACCTATAATGGATTTACATTGATTCGCATAGACCTTCCATATACCTATAATATACACACCTACACATGGCAATAAATGATGTCATTTTGACACAACTGCTAATGATTCCAACCTCTACTGATGCTGATCAATAACTTAACATTCTGAAAGTGGATTATAGTTCCCAACTGATGAAAGACCACAGCTATAAAAGGTACTTGACCTGGTCTAATTGACTTTATTCCAAGGGAGGAGATCAATTAGAGGACAAACATTACATGATGCATACTTGACATTTTACCAAAGATAAAACAGGAATAAGATTATTTAAATATATTTTTAGATAGGCCTATAGATATACATGAAGGTGTAGTTATGAGGATTGAAATGAAGAAATACATAAAGCATACAAAGAGTGAATTCAAAGCACTGATTCACCTTCTTGAAACTTACCGTAATTTGTTCCCCATATCTTATTTGTCAAACAGCTTCTAGATCACATTTCTGATATATTTTGTAGCAATTAGAGATTTCAAAAAAAATATTTGTTTCTCGTCAGTTGTTCATATTACTGATATTCATATCACTGCTTGCCGTGAGTATTTCTCAATCAATTGTTTGTATTTCCACACTTGGTGGAACAACTATCTTTGAATGGAAGCTTATATACCTGGACCATGAGACTGTTTCACAGTGTTTCTTGTTGAAGTACCACTATAGAGAATTTACATATACGAATGTTCAATCTTTTTCTTGCATCTCTTTACATTTAGGTCTATTTGAAAGAGTGGAATAGCCCAAGTCTTCTGGCTTTTACTCGAAGGCTTTCATGTAGAAACAGGTCCAAAATCTATTCCAATTGGACCACCTAAAACTTATGTAATCCAAACTTGTTAAGAGTGTTATACTATAAATGTCAGTATAATTTCCTCCTCTCTCCATCAAAATAATCCAATGAAATCTTAAATAATTTCATGATTTAATATATTCCGCATTCCTATACAAAAAGCAAACAGTATCTTTGAGGGACAATGTGTTACAATGAGTACCATGTAAATCCAATCATTTTCCCGATACATCAGCCCTACTGTATACACGGAACGTGATAACTTCCTAGTACCATAGCGCTAGAAAAACAACAAAAGCACGATTCTTGTAAAAATCATCCATATGCCATCAATAATAACCAATCATGATTGATTATACAAGGTGTCATCCTTGGCTCAGTAATATGCTCATACACATACTGATTTGTGAAGTAAAAATACGTTACTTGATATTCAATTGTTCAAAAAGCAAAAAGACACAAAAAATCAATTCTTAATTGCAAGGTGAGTGTCATTCATTTGATTGAATCTCATTAATTATGAATGATCTGTTCTTAACTAATTAGTGCAGCTCTGTGATTCTTTTATTGTATTTTGAAGCTAGCAGAAAATTGAAGTGAATATTTGTGTAAGTGGCAAAACCAGAAATACAATAGAACCATTATCTAACAATGAATTAAGAGCATTATGATACTACCTGTTTGTGAACCATCTAAAAACCAATCTATAAACATCTCAAATGAAATACAAGAATTTGAATATATTTCAGATATGTCTATAGGAGAGTGCTCAATTAGACTAAAAAGGAATTCCTTTTTGGACTCCAAAGGTTCAATAAAGCCCCCTCAGGAGATTGTGTATTTGATCATACCTTGGTTTGCCATTGATAACAACAAACAGTAGGAATTAAGTGGATAGCTCATATTGGTTAGATTGTAGTGGCTTGCTCTAATGATCATCTGATAGCCATTCACCATTATTAACACTGTTTAGATGTTTTATAAATAAGTATGTTTATTTTTATCCATTGAGTCTGCAGGAAATATGACTTCATATCCAAATAATGGCAGGTGTCTTGGATATGACAAATTTTGTCGTTTTGTTATTTGCGAATTTCAAACTTAAACACAACATAACTTTCCACCAATAGAATGACCTCCAAATACAACATGCAATACATGAAGCAAAATATTCTCTTATTCTACCATTTTTAACTCCATTTGTTCCCAATTGATTGCATACATCCTGTATCATAGCACACATATTGGAATTGTTAAGAGGTCACGCTATCTTGTCTTATAAGCAACAACAATGTGTCCCGATTTATAATGTCTGAAATGCCATCTATTTTTATAGTAATCTACTGTTCTATGTAAGTGCTGAGTTTGTATGTTATACCTAACAAAATTTATTCATATGAAATACATCTTATCTCTTATTATACTAAGACACTAATACAAGTATACAGTGTACCCACCAGCCACCAATTCTTTTAGATTTTCCTGGTTTTCAAAAAACCTCTTTTCCTTGTCACTCTCTCATAAGAAAAATTTCAGATTTCTTCATGTTTTTATGTTTTCGACTATTTTGTACTATCTATTCATTTCTAAAACTCCAGAATTTGCTTGATTTAGATGAAAATACTACCGCCGTATTTTTATTTTCTCTTGACCTTTTTAAATCTTTCTCTTCTCATGATTTTTTAAAAAATGTCTGTAATCTAACAATTTTTCCTATTTTCTTATCAGGACATGGTAGATGGTTGGCCAGGTATCTATTATATTAACATGCCTGGTCATATCTAATGTAATTATTAATCTATGTAAGTGCCAGGATCATGTGTTGTATGTGGCATGATTGATGAACATGAAAATATATTATAAAAGGCAATGAAATCTACCTGTAAATACAATATGATACAGCTCAACAAGTGTATTGATTGGTAACCAATACAGGTGAATTCTCTTAAAAACATATTTTAGTTTACGAGAGGCAAAAACTTTTTACTTTATGGATCTTTGCCAAAAACAATTTTACGAATACATATGCGCTCCTTGTATTCTACCCTATATTTCTGTTTAAAATCTAACAGAAGTGTGACATTTTCATGCATTTCTAAATAATTCAGAGAACAGGGTACATAATGCATTGCTATTTACTCTAATGTACCCCAATGCACTTACCCTACCTCTATTTTGCATCTTAAACCCCAACCCCAACATGTACGTACCTCTCAATGACGTCCCCTTCTAATACTGTCTGCACAGGGAGGTAACCCAGTCGCGGGTGCTTCTTAAAGTGCCGTTTGGACTTGAACTTGTTTTTCATAACTTTAGTAAAGTCTCTTACATCCTCACCAGATGTTGTCTGTAATAGACATACATTGAATGCACTGATAAAAATGTTGACTTCTATGCATACATAAGAGTTTGCATCAGCTGCATGTTGTACCTTTAAAAATTAATGTTAGGACAAGACATCTTTGTTTTCAAAAGAATTTCAAAGCTTGAAAGAAAATTCATTTAGAAAGTGGACAAAATGCCTTTTAAAATAAAAATTGCCTGCGAGTACTGTTATTTCATATGAGAACTACAGCTATTAGCCATATAATATCAAAACAACAGTGCAATATAATTGTTATACACAGACAACAGTGCAATATGTACTCACAGCAGTGCAATACTCTTGCATAGGGTGAGTGAGTTTGTGTCCCTTGGCCCTCCGCCCAGAGAAGAAGCAGTTCTGACACATGTCGAAATTAAAGCACTTTAAACAACGATACCTGCAATATGAAATTAGACTTTAAAATAATGCATGTGAATGTCAATCAAACACAGTATGATATAAATGAGCCAGGCCTTAGGAAAAGGGGTCTTATCACAGATTTTTTTCAATATTTTGATTTTTTGTTCATCTTAAAAAGCACAAAGAGATCTTTCAAATGAGCCATGGCTTATGTCCTAACAATTTTTTCTTGCAAATTTAGACCAAAAGACAGATTTGAATTTAGCACATTTTCCTCTTAATCTTGAGCACATTTTTGGCTCTTTGTGATAAGACCGGTTTTCTTATGGCTAGGCTCAAATATTGATGGACAACATGACAGTTCTAATTGAAAGCCCATGTATAAAAGCACATTAAAAGATGTTTGGAAATATAGTTCTCAAATAATGTCAATATTTTCAGAGTGTTTACAAGTGAAAATAATAAAAATGTCTTGTGGTTATTTCTCTCAATGAAAACGCTGAATCAAGTCCCAGAAATGCTTACTTTTTCAATGAAAAGAAATACTTCTTTTACATGATTGAACCTTACCTGAATCCTACTATTGGATACTCCTTGCATATATTACATTTAGCTTGGTGTTTGGCAGTCTCTGCAGCTGCTAAACGGTGCATGACAGGTAACCAAACCATAGATTGAGGCTCCAGTTTCATCCAGTCTAAGAAATGTGAGGCCTGAATCTCATCCGTGACATTTGCCTGTTTAAAACAGCTTCTTACACTCGGTTCAATGTTACTTCCCCCAAATGACGCAACTTCACCGAGTTGTCGCGGGATTTGAATACAATCATGGAGTAATAATCCGAGTTTTCGTTCATCCGCTAAGCCATTACTGTCAGCAATCAAGCGGAATATAAACCTGTACTTATCCTCTAGGTGACCTTTACACATAAGTATGATTGCCACTTTAAATGAGAGAACACGTATTTGACCAGATCGGCCACTGTCGTAAACATTAAGAACCCAGTTCAGACATAGGTCTATACACAAAGGAGCGTTCACAAGTGTTGGGTGGTCTTCCGTGAGACCGTCATACATTGTGTTTAGGCAGTTTATTATTTCCATGACATCCATGAGTTTGTCGTTCTGTGCACGTAGACCGTGCTGATCAAATGAATCTATGGCACTGTTCATGTTAAGGAGGTCCACTGAAAAAAATCATTAATATTTATAACAACTTCTTTTTGGAAGAAAATGAAATAGGATGTTAAGGTATTTACATTAAGTATGCAAGGACCAATCACAACACTAGAACTATTCCTGCAAAATTTGCTTCCAAGTCATATACAGAATTTCAAAATCACTTTAACTTAACTTAATATCAAGAGAATCAAACAATTGATAATTAATGTGCAAAGGGCACTGTTACTTGTGTTACATATACCCTCTTGGTTCTTTTATATTTCATTAATAACTTTCCATCTAACTATAAATAAAAAATTCTCTATGTCCTTGCTATTTACTTTCATGAACAAAGATTAGAGACCCGTTCCTAAAAAGAACATAGATTAAAATTCCTGAATTTTGATTTCATTTCACATCATTCAAAAGTTTACCTCTAGTACTTACAACAAAGTTTCTTCTGAAGAGTCCTGAGTTTCATACACGTCCTGTACGCACTAAACCTCACATCATTCAACTCAGCCAATGTCGTTAACAGACTCGTCATTTGCGGATGATCCCAATGCGTAGTCTCCGTCATATGATTGATGTAATAAGGCACCTTATTTCCCGCCACAGCTCTCTCATACGGCTGATCAACTGATGAAGCTAGATAATGCTGGGACTGGGGTCCAAAATCACGTAAGGCATCTTGGAGCTGTTTCAACCTCTCCTCGACACTCTCCTGTAGTGCGATCCATCGTGTTTTCAGATCTTGTGTTCGGTTGACATTCGTGTGTGACATAATCACACCTGATGCTTCAAGGTCGGTGGATAGGTCCCCAACCTGGTCCACTTGGCCCTGTAGTGGGGCAATTTGCTGTTGGAAGCCCTATAAATACATACAATAGCACTTTGGTTAGTACAGGGTGACCAAAAAACCAGAACCATTTTATAGCAGAACAGATTTGTGGGTCACTCTGTACTACTGTCTTGAAAATGTCACCTAATATTGGTTATTTCTAACAAAGTTCAAAGAACTCAGTCCTGGATATATACCAGAAAAACGTTGAGGTTTTTGTCCTTTTTGTAATTTTGCTGCCTTATACTGTAAATGATCACTCTTCCGGGTTTGTATATACTATCAGTCAGAAAAATTCATATAAGTCTTAGAGAAGCATGAATAAATACTTTTTTTTTAGAAAACCCAGTCTAGTCAAAAATTTCTATATCTTGTCAAGAACCTTTATAGATGACATTTACTTTCCTAGCCCCGACCAGGCAGTGACCATAATACTATGACTTTATAATGATGAAACTATAATTAACCTGGATGTCAAAGCTTCATGTAAAGCTCAACAAACTTATAAAACATGAATTTTCCCAGCAGTCATCTGGAGTAAATGCATAAGCAGCCCCAAGCTTGCAACCAATCAGGATGGACAATGATAAACATGTACCATAAGGGAAGGTACCTTTTCTATTCATACAAACTAATATATTACTAATATTATTATTAATATATACTCTACAGGCTAATCTTATACTCGTATATACTAAGCTGGCAACCATCGCTCATGTATGTCATGTAGATTTGTATGTAAATCTGAGTCCATTTATGCAAAGCTTGCAATCTTAGTTCATGTATGTTAAGCTTGCAATCTTAGCCAATCTTAGCTCATGTGTGTTAAGCTTGCAATCTTAGCCCATACAGACCAAGCTAGCAATCTAAGCCTATATATACTAAGCTTGCAATCCTAGCTTATTTATATCAAGCTTGCGATCCTAGCTCATGAATGCTAAGCCCGGGATGCTAAGCTTACTATCATGTATACTAATTTTATGTTAGCTCTAATATACCAAAACAAGACAAAGTATCTAACTTAGTAATCACCTTTTTGATAAGTTAGATATATCCACATTTTAAAAAGCTAATATTTAAGCATGTATTTAAAGTATAATGCTTATTTTCAGTTAGAAACATGATGCAGTATCTCAACATAATGTCTATGTGTTTTTACTTGTATATTATACTAATATACTGAATGTGCAATTTCTACTAGAGAATCGTACTAAAATGCTACACACTCAAGATTGCAATGCAATCACAAGTTGTGTGAATAATTTGTCTCCTATTTTTTTGTTTCTTATATATTTGGTACATGCCTTATTGTCAAAGATAAGGTGGTTTAAAGTGGTGCTGATGTATAGAAAATTATGATATAGAAACATGGGTGCTAAGTAAAAACATAAAGGTAGCAAAAATAAAGCCCTAAGCCAAGAGAGACACAAGCAATATTATGCAGAATCAGAAAAGATAAAATTTGATGATTTTTTAAAAATTATTGTTTGGTTCTTAAAAGCTAGTCAAGAAGCCATCGAAAGTAACCTGTGACCTGTTTCTATTCAAATTCGTAATTGCATGAAATGAAATCAACATTATACATGTATATGGAAACCATAAAGGTTTAGTATTTTGTCATTTTGATTTGAATACAGTTTTCCATGACTTCAGAAGCTGTTTTAATCATTTTCCAAAAAGTTTTCTTGATCAAATATCATATCTTATTCTCCTTTCTTATAATTAATAATTAATATGATCAGATGTTCAATTAATTAATATAAACAGACATTCATATTGTTAATATAATCAGACATTAATTATATTTATATACATAGAAAAGCCAGACAAAAAGCGTGTGACGTGGTGCAGTTAACGAACACATACTAACCATTTGTTTGTTTAGATCACTGTTAATTTCATCCTATAAAACACACTTGTATGTAAAACATAAACAAAACAACATAACCATAGCAACGTATGTGAATTCTAACCAAATATGGAATGGCACAAAATGTATGTAAATTCAGAATTCCGCATACATTTAGAAGCAAATAAATAAGAATGACATTTGAGGCTTCTATGTGCTACAAAATTAATTATAATATACTGGTATAAAGACTATAAGGAAAGGGGAGGGAAGTGGGAAAGCGTAAATAATCATTTAGATATAATGACAGAATTTAATCTAATATATCAAAAGCTTAATTGATTAAAAGCAAATAGCAATATAATCAACAACAAATCAAAAATCAATTTGGAATGTCACACAATAGCATTCATTAATTTAATTCTTATGAAACAGCACAATAATCATGCAAATTGAAATCAGAAAGTATAAATGAGCTATAATGTCATGCATTATGAGAAAACGCCAATACAGTGTAGATGGCTATGAAAAAAATACAGCACCCGCTCAAATGATTTCTGCAGAATATCAAAAAATTGAGGGACCAGTATTTTTGAATGCTGATGAGGTGTGGGATGCGAGATTCATACAAGAATTTTCCAGAATTTCCAAGAATCAAAGTCAAATAATGTCATTTGTCTTCTGAAAATTTTAATGCTGGCCCACAATAATTTCACCTCAGATATATTTTCCTTATTTCTCCATTGATTATTTCGTACATGTAAATATGCAAATCAGAGGGAGGAGCCATCAATTGTCACATCATTCATTTGTGTTCAGAATTTAATATCATCCTCAGTTCATCATCTTGGATAATTTGCTTCAGAATATTTTGAAGAAAAAGTAAGCGACGAATATGAAACTATTGAGGGAATGTTTTATTCTCATTATTCAAAATTCGAAAATTGCAGCGTGGATGATGGAAAATGAAGAATTGACTGACCTTATTTTTATCTGTTTCATCTGGTAGATTCTCAATTATGACATCACCAACTGGAATCCATTTTCTTTTCTCCGTCTCGGCTTCTTTTAGACGAGCCTGGAGGTCATCCATGGCATCATGGAAAAGACGCATTTTCTACAAACAAATAATTAAAAAGTTTACTTTTTACCTACATCATATAACATAATTATTACGCATATTATAAGTATTACACTGCAATAATCAGGTCCAATCTATGATACCTAAATCATATGCAAAAAATATTTAGAAAACTGATTATTGATAAAAATATTAATATTTGGATATTTATCTTTTGATACACATAGAAAACACTATATTGAAACACTCTTTGATTTTGTTCAACTTCCATAGCAGAACTCATCATTATATTTTAACCCCACCCTAAAATGAAAAATTAAATTTATACATGTACATTGATTGACTTCACAAAACTAAATTTTGTTTACCGAAGAAATTAACCTATAGTCGATAACTAGACACCATCCCATCTAGATGTTCAAACTGTCAGACAATATGAGTGATCACGATTAATAAGTTTCCACGATGTTCTTGTCATTTTAATAACTCTAGATGTTCACATATGGGACTGATATGATTGGGTTGATAGAATGCGCAGTATGACAATGAGCTATTATAGCTTGTATTTTTGGCATGATTAATTGAAGAAGACTGAAAGTGGTCATTCTTTGATAAATAGCTGGTTCCAATGCATGCATTATTGAATAGATTTATAATTGCTGAATAGCTGACCAACTATGGATTGGTACTATGGTACTAATTATATACAGAGCATATTTTGCTTCATTAATACAATCAACATTCCATTACCTCAAGTATTTCATCAATACGGGCCTGCCATTCATTTGAGCCTTGATTAAGTTCAGCCCATTTTCTATTGAGCAGTCGAACGTGACGACGAATCTGCTGGACTACTTTTTTGCCCTCTTTTTCCACCCCTTCAGTATCTGAGGATTCTTCTCCCGAATCTACACTGATTCTACGATCATCTCCTTCTTCCCGGAGATAAAGACGGCCTGTTTCTAGAGTATGTTCAACTAGAGGGCGCTTATCATCAAGCTCCCCACGAAGTGTGCTGTGATCATCATTCTGTGTTGTGACTTGATTCAAGTCACCTCCTATTGGTTGTTGCCGTGACAACTCTTCATTCTTTTCGGCGATCCAACCGATCAGTTCTTTAAGAGTACTGAGTAGCTGGGCCCAATGTTCAGCATTGTTCTCTAGTCGTCCCCTGAAATATATCCCATAATGCACTTGACTTAAGCAGATGGTAATATTTGTTGACATAAATTCTTTAGTTGAACTCGAGACTTGAAATTGAGACTGGGTCTCTATATCCCATAGTGCACTTGACTTAGCAGATGATGAGAAAGATTATAATATGTATTATGACATGTATTCTTCAGTTGAACTCACAAAAGAAAATTGAGTTGGGTCTCCATTTAACCGTGACACATTCCAACATTTAACTAATGAGATACATATATCTGATGGCATTAAAAAATAGAATACTGTATAATTTAAAGACTTTCAGATGTATATTTCCCTCAAGATATTTCCTACGTACAAAACCACCCATACATGGCAAATAATTATCATATACTTAGTAGTGTCCCTACAGTTCCTCAGGTAGATATATTGTATTTCACTCAGGGTATACCCTATATCCAAACCCTTACCTGATATCTACAGATTTTGACTTGAGCTTGATCCATCTCTTATTCATCTGTTCTAAGCGCTTGTGTAGGATTTCACCATCTGAGGCCTCCATATTGTGTACAATATTCCGCCCTGTCGTAGTGAGACTGTCGAAAGCATTTTGGTGAGCCTCAATCTCACTTTGAAGGTCCTGAAACACACAAGTAAATCCAGAGAATCAGTAAAGCTAGGTGTTATTCTAATCTCTCCATTAGATCAAGAGAGTCAGTAAAGCTAGGTCTTATTCTCATCACTCCATTAAAAATTCTGCAAAATTAATTTATATGTACTTGCAATAAAATTTGAATCCATTTGCATAAATGCACAAAGTGAGTGAAATACAAGTGGATGTATTTCTCATTTCAATAATGCATTGTCGAGAAGACTCAAAACAATCTTTTCTGTTATTGTGTCACTAGCATCGTGAAGGTTCTTATTGCTGAGAAATATTTTCTTTCTTTTTATGTACTTTGTGAAAAGTGTTTACTTGCCATTTCTATAGCATGATCAAGCACTTTTAAAGGCACATCGAGGGAAATGAATTGGCAATTCTGATGATTAAATAGGAATAACTCGTGAATTTTTATGATTTTTATTCAGCAGAGACTATTTCTATATATCTATCTCTCTAAGGGAAAGACTTCTGATAAAATAGCTTTTTATAATTATCCCAGATGAAAAAAATGTTATTAGATATGATTTAGTTTTATTGTTAGTAGCTTTTATTAACTATTATCTCCCTTGAGGAGAGTAACAAAGTCTAACCCCCAACCCTTGATCGAATAAAATCTCAGAAATCTGCAAAGATTTTCAGGATTAAACAGTAAAAAATTAAAGGAAAAACAAAAATACTTTTATTTGTCAAAGGCGAAAACCAGGGAAAATCTTTGAATATCAAAATATTTGAATTTCAAGAGGAACTGAATCTGATGATTAAGTCAAATGATTATTTTCACCATAAAACATGAAATAAAAACATTGGGCTATATAATCAAGACAAGGCATTAACCATGCAGAATGTCACAGCCTGCCATTTGTTGCAGATACCAACCGCTGAATGCTGAACATTGTCCACAAAAAGTAGGAAACTTTAACATTATGCTTCTGGTGGCGACAAAGAAACATAAAATCAGGATAAACAATAACAGCTAATTCAATCTTTAGTGAAACAGAAAAATGAGCATCAGAATCTTGAGGCATACAAGGTACTTAGAAACGGAACTAATTAATGCATAGATCTATACATAATTGGAAACAAACAACACAATCTGTAACTTTGGAATGAAACATTGCAAGAATATTTGAGATGATTGTATTACTACAGACAGTTGCAGCTGTTGTTCTAGATATTGCCTGCAATTTGAAGCTTAATCTTGCATGGATTTCATATGTTCAATTTACCATAGAAATCAGGTACAGTAAGAGCTCCCAGGTGGTTAAGCCTGACTTTAATCTTATAATATGCTATATATCATTTTATCATTTTCCATGCAGACTGTGAGGTAGTCTCACAAGAAGCATCCTAACAAAGGACTATAGGAATTAATGTCAAGATACTGATGAACCTCTAGTCTCCGATCCCTTACCCCATACTATATGTTTCTTATGTTCCAGAGAGTTTGGGGTGAGAAGCTTTGTTAAAGACTAGATATTAAAAATGAATTATTTTCTTGCTTATTCTAGGTGGGATTCCATTATGATCTACATTATTTTAGAATTTAACGAAATAAGCATCCGAACTACGGCTTTTGCTTGGTTATATCCAGGCAAACTCTTGAGACTTCGCCTCTAAAGCCAATCAGAAGTTTCAATTTGAGTGACATTTAATGGAAATTTGCAAGTCTCGGAAGATATGTTTATGTATACGTTGAACATGAACCATTCCATTATGATTTGCAGTATTTCTTACAACGAATACATAAACTCCTGGTATTTTATCTGCTGGTTATGCTTTATGAATACCTCTGCCATTACTGATGGCCTCTTTGATATCCCCTTAATTCCCTTTATCTTCCCCTTTATTTTCACTTTGATTGAAATACTACAGAGTACATCAAAAGTACAAGATACGGATCAATTTTATTTTTAGTTTCCCCTAAATTAAAGTGATCGATTGGGATATTGAATTCATACAACTATAACTAGATAGTCAGTGTGGTTGAGAAAATCCCGTTGCAAGTTTGATATCTGTTATATGTTGTATTTTACCATTTAGGTGACACTTGTTAAATATTGTAATGGATTCTTACCCAACCTTAAAGTCACACCTTTCTGTTGATCATGACAGGTATGACACTACATGACACCAAAAGTGTTGCCCAACATGACACCAATAATGCTGAACAACATGACATCAATTATTGAAATACCTGACACAAAGTGTTGAACCCATGTCCCCATCAGAACAATGGGGGACATGTCATAGGGGATATCGAATTCTACACCACCACTACATGACATCAATGGTTTTGAATCACATGATACCAATCGTGTTGACCCACATGACACCATTATTGTTGACCCACCTGACATCAACAGAACTGAGCAACATGACACCATAGGTGTTGAACCAAATGACATCAAGGGCTAAACCATAGGAGCCATCACCCCAATGCCAATAACAATGTTTTACCACCCCTTGGTAACATTCACTATTGGGCAGACACTGATTTATATTCCCAACCATCCTAGATACTGGTGTATTAGCCAAGGAGAAACCAGACAGACAGAGTTGAATGATTATGGTAGAGAGAAGAAATTGAAGACGTTTCAGGAATATAATTAAGTCTTCCCCATGCATCTTAAGACGGAAGATCATAACATTCACTGTAATGTCAAACAAATCATCTTCCACAAGACAAGATTCTTATTCCCATGTTCAAGTAATTTCATGGACTATCCATCTACTCTGAAAATAACACCTTTGAAGCACAACTGCTGCAATCATTTATACAAAAATAATTACTTAGCACGAGAATATCTGACCATTAGAGATTCTGGTCACCTTTACATTGTATAGGTCAAACGTGAAAGTCACTGGCCAGAAATGATTGTTTTCCCATCGGAAATTGGATGTCCTACTTGCAATTATCTTTCTTATGATCTTGATAGTTTGCAGATTTGTTGACCATTTAATCAATTATCCAAAGCTTTGAATGCAGTAAATGACTGTTTTGAGTTATTATAATGAGGTGTTTTCAAAACAGCGAATTGTTATTTTAAGTCCTTGCATTACTGAACCATTATACTGAATTATGTGAAAAAAGACGAGCAGTTTGCTGTAGGGGACGTATGTAATAATGGGATTTTGCGATAACATGCTGGATGAATTACACACTATTTTACCTGTTCAAATCTGCACAGCATATCTCTCAATGTGATATTGAACTGGATCATGGCCACACTAAACTCCACATGTGGCCTGAAGGCTCTCTGGCTCACTATGGAGCCCTGTCTTAGAATATAGAGCCCTGTATCTTACTATTGAGCCCTGTCTTTTAATATTTCAGACCTTTCTCTTAATATCCCAGCCCTCTCCTTTCGTAAACACCTTTCCAGTGATACCTGTTCAATCCATCTGTCATAGAATGTTGAATTTTCTAACTTCACTATGAAAACATCTAGGTGAGCATTCAATAACATATTTATCAGGAAAGTACGACTGTTTCATGTTCTATTATTTGACATGCCACTGTTTTTCTCGCACTACATAAGTCTATTTCATCACTTCAATACTCCTGGCATGATCATCTCAGTTTATTTCCAGTAAAAACTTTAAATAAATACATTCATCTGTCCGATCGATATCATGTAGAATCTACAGCACATAACAATATAATCCAAGGTCTTCCTGATATCATCAATAATATCTTATTAACTTCTCCGTGATTCAACAATAGATGTATAAGGTGGCTGACAGTTTTCTATCAGTAATCCCCGCCCCTGCAGTCATACATACTGTCCCTACGTCTCATTTCCTACTACGACAGTCAGGATATAATCGATAGATGCTTCACACTTAATTAACCTGACTTAGGCAGTGGCAATTAACACAGGCTTTCACGGGTGAGATTCAACAGCCTTCCTGTTGCAGGATCCTTTATTATCATTATATTCCTTATTACATTCTTTATGTATTGACCAGCTCATTGCAGACTTACATATGTTCATTTAGCTGCTTATTATCTGTGTAATATGATAATATATATGGATTTTAAGGATAACAAAAGAAGTGCAAGATCATACAAGGCTTGTAAGATAGTATAAAGGCATTGATATGCAAAATGTCACCACCTGCCATTTGTTAGACACTGAATGCTGAACATTAACTGCCAAACACTGACCACAGACCACAAAAAAGTTGAAAACTAAACCAATAAATGGTGGTGACATAACACTTCTGGTGGTAACATAACAAGGCTTGTATGACTGAATAAAACTTGCAAGATTATGCAAAAAGTGTGTAACTGTACAAGACTTGCAAGATTATACAAAGCTTGCAATAACTCATACTGGTGTTGCTTCAGCTGCATATGATATATAAGAGTATATCTATAGCTTTGTAGCCATATGTGTTTTCTTCAATAAATGTGCACAATCCTTTAGAATCAATCTGTTGAATGTTCAATGTGGTTTTCTTTCAATATACACATGCATATTGGCTATGATTATCATGTATTTTACGAGACATATCAGAAATTAGAAATCCTCCAGGAGAGCAACAATTTAGCCTGAATGAAGAAGAGACGTTATTAGAGGAGAGAAAACAGATATGATCAAATTAGAAAGATGCTATCAAATGCCTCTTGAAGCAGAAATCACCAAGAAAATCTGAAAAGTGGAAATACTGTATGCTGAGTTAAAATGGTTTTATTCCAGAACACATATAACAATGACCAACATATAACAAGGACCAACATAATATGACAAGGACCAACATAAAACAATGACCAACATATAACAAGGACTAATGGATGGATGCCTAGTCGATCCCATAGGCTAACCCTGTTAGCCAAATATACAGTTAAACCTCTAAACATAAAAAGCAATTTCAGAAGTGTTCAATTTCAGTATTTTACAGCTCCCATGTTCCCATTAGTGATTAATCTTCATTATGCCACTAAAGGCCAAGTACTCATCATGTGCTCATGT